TACTTACTAGCAATATGTGGGAATTTTAGACCTATACTACATTTAAGACCTCCATTCAAAGTGTTGTGAAATAATTCGATAATAATAGTTACTCATTGTGAATACTAAGTACTGATAATAAATACTTGTAGTATTTAAGGTAATTTTAATAGTGTGTTAATTAACTCGTCGTATAAATGAGATTCCCGTAGGCCCAAACTTCTCTCCCCCGTCCCTAAATCTCCAAAACTCTAAGCAATACACTCGTAACTCTTTTGGGGATGCAGGTGTCCATGGGCGGATCCGATAGCTGACCATCAGGTAATCTGTCTACTCGTTTACCGACATATTACATAAAAATAAATAAAAAGTATTAATACTAGGAGTAACTATTATAATAGCTAAAGACTCTTTAACGTAGAATTTTCTGGATGGATCTGAATGTAGCGTAGTAGCCTGGAATAACATATAGGCATAAATTTTAATGTGGAACCGCCAAAATAAAAAAATTTGAAGACACTGCTATTATCAATATACCTTAAACTGTATTCAGATTACTGTAGCCGTCTTGTGTGTTTAAGGTCTATATAATTATAGGTAATTTAAGGTCTTGCACCCACTGGAATAGAGTGATCAGTTTGAAAAAAGTATTTAAATAATAGGTATTTTTCAAAGCTGACCCACGATGAATAACTCTAACGAATCTCTTAAAAAATAAAACCTCAATTCTAAGTAAAAAAAAATCTGAGAGAACAAAAACCAATTACGTATAATGCATTCTAAAAACATCGCGATGTCATATCAAATCAGTCACCCTTCGCCCCGTATCGCCCTAAGCACTATTGATTTCCCCGAGTTTGCTTGTACACTCGCACTAAGACGACTAAACACCAAAACGTATATCAGCTCACGATAATTGGATTTACGACAAATAATATGGAAGAAAAATATTACTGGCCTCTTTCCGTGTTGCTGAGCAGAAAAAATGTTGATCGATGCGAGTAGATGGCGCGAAGATGTGTATTTATTATCTGTATTAAAATTGGACAGTTCTTAGGCTATGGTTAGGTACATTAGAAATCGGTTGCTTTAGGAAGTTTATTAATACAATTTAAACTTTATCACAAAATGTTAAAGCTGAATATCTTTATCCGTTGAAGGTACTTGGTCTGTTTCTTGATTTCAACTAACAGTGTTTTTATAATAACTATCGTGAGACATACTAAATTAACTAAAATTCGCGGGTTAATTCACCTAACAGATTACCATATAGTTAAACATATGTAGGTACATAGATTTTACCAACAAAAGTTTCAATCCAAGACATTCATACATCAACATTAAGTTTCAATAATCGGATAAACATAATTTCCTATAAAAAATATTATACAATTTCCACAATGCATAATGAGCAAAATAAGATGTCACTCAGTCCACTTTCAGTTACTTAAATACTACAAACAAAGTACCTATATGACTACTGAACTACATAGGTGAAAGTGGTAGTAAGTCTACTAGGACTGAAATAAGGTCTAAAAGAGATCTACTCTTCTCTCGCCCAGAGTACGGCTAGTTTCTGTTCCTTCTCCTGGTCCAAGCCAGGTAGGATAAGCCGGATAAACCGCGGCACATTATTGAACAAAATTAAATATTGATATTTGAATTATTCTAATACCAAGGTTTCACACGCTCGGCTCAATTTGAAATAATTTTGAAAATCCGACTAGCAGTTCCAAAATTAAACACCCGCATACAAACGCATAAAAAAATGTTTACCTCTTTATAATATTAATATACATAGATTTAACAAGATCGATTAAAAGTTATACATACTCACACATCATAATAGAATACAAATAACAAAAGTTATTTAAGGTTAATTAGCAAAAACACAAAGCTCTACTATTCCACTAACTGGCTGGCTAGACAGAGTCTAGATCTCATTAAGCAGTGCAGTGATAGGCTCTCATTAATAAGCGTACTGATTATAATTTCCTGCACACAACGCACCCAGCTAATTCTCCGGTTGATTTCAGATTTAATGAAATTCCACGAGCTGAATTGCAGATGAAATATAATTAGATTGACGTGTTTTCGCTTCTGGAATTTAGGCTATCTGTCTGCTTCTCGACAAGGTAGTTATGCGACGGTAAATCTTTTGAAACTAAATACCTATAAGAAATATAGATTCATATTATGTATTTTTAGTGATATACAAATATTTTTCTATGTTATTTATCATAAAATTAATGAAATGAAACTCATAACCAAGGAGGTTTTTTCGAAACCTTGCAAGTACCAATGTGAGTTTTTTCGAGTTAAATGTATCTAGGTTTATCCACTGATCTACGGTGAAGGAGAACATCGAGCGGAAACAAAGTCTTGTCATTTCTACGCCAATACGCCTTGAGCAAGCGTTGTGAGTAGTGCTCAGACCTGCGCTGTGTGGAAGAGACCTTTGCTCGAAAGTGGGCACTTATAAACTAGTGATTATGGTGATGAACTTAAAATGGCAGAGTGAGCATACGATGGCAGAGTGAGGCGCATAGTTAAGATCTTGCATCGAAAGAGTAATAGAAAAGTTTAAATTTGTTGCTGTCCTTTTAAAAAGAAGTACGCTCGTTTCCTAAAGTTTTAAAGGTCGAATCGATTCGTAAAAACCCCGCCGAAAGACCATTCCAAAATTTTTGTTGTGCTGTTTTGATACAACATTCGCGAAAAATAATAATAATTACATGTAGATCTTAAGAACACATGTAGGCGTGTTTTACTCCAAAGACAAAATAAATACGAACTTGGCGAGTCCATAGTCATAATAATCCAGAATGAAATTAAGGGAGTTGAAAACTTAGGAGTTCCCGGTCTAAGCTATGCCATTGGCGACACTACAAATACGCCATCCGACTACGCAACTCGGCTACGCAACCCGGCTATGCAACCCGGCTACGCAACCCGGCTCCGCAACCCGGCTACGCAACCCGGCTACGCAACCCGGCTACGCAAAACCGGGTACGCACCCCGGCTACGCTACCCGACTACGCTACACTAAACGGTTTCGATAATAACACACGAAGTCGGTTGGCGTCACAATGTGATTTGTCAAACCCCCTTATCTAGTCACCAATCGAGCATTTATTCTCAAAACAAAGCAAAAATACATTCTCTATCGTTGAGAAAAAACAGATCAGGACACACGAGGGAAATAAAATATATAAAGGAAGGAAAGATGTCCATCTTCGTTCGTTTTTATGTTCAAATTCTAGATGTTTTTGTTTGTACAGTAAGTCGGCTAATACTTCCTCAGGTATTCGTATTCAGAATCTTTTATATTGTATGGTATGGGTTTCGAAATTTAATGGCCTTGAATGATATGAATCAGTTTCTTTTTCATATAGATTCTATCGTGAAACATACCATATTTATTGAAAAAAAAGAACTTGCGTGCATTAAATTAGAGCGACTCTTCTAGTTTTAAGTTACGACGGTGCTCTTAATCATAAGCGGTGTGGGTGCCACAGCGACGTCGAATTCCAAATTAGCTTCATTTAAAAATCAAAGAAAATATATTTAACAATATTTAACCTCTTTTTCGAATGATAATGAAATCAAAAACCCAACAATTAGTGTACCCCAACACTACGATCGATTACGGAAGGTGCAATAGCATACCAATCAACATGGACGTAATTTATTCTTCATGTCACTAATTAATTTTACAATGAAACATTAAAATAAATGTATACCACGTCCCCACATTATGCTCCATTCTAAAATCATAGCAGTAATAACAGTTATATTCATTCAACCCATTACGCAATCCTAGGTAGCTTTGTTTCGCACAATATAGCATTCCCAATGCGATGGGACGTGACAGTCATGGGTAAGAGGTGCACGTTCGTGGTTAAACTATCGATAAATATTTGCACGGCGCACGGCACACCACTAGAGTGTTCGAGACAGACGGCATTTGTTTATCGATGGCTCGTAAGATGTTTAAATTGAAAGCTGTTAAACAAAATTTTAGCAGTAGCCACTCATATTATAGGCATATATAAAGATTAGAAGAGTAGTAAGTCATTATTGATCTTCATATTTTTAATTGATTGACTCTCAACACTCTTCGTCACGCACATACATGTGACCAGTAATGTATTTTGAAACTATAAATCAACTGAGTTTATTACTTACAAATAACTACAAGATGTTATAAATAAAAGTACGAGAAACACCTACGATCCTCCAGTAATCTCCAAACTCACCAATAAATGGACATCAAGCAGTACACATCGGTGTTTACACATTCAAAATAGCAATTAACAGGCTGTCGATCAAGTGTGGAAGCTGTCAACCCTCCCTTGCCTCATCATCAATATCCTTTACATCAAACTCCGGGCTCATACGCATTAATCGAGTCTGTCTCCCAACAAAACCTAATCCGATAAATGGGTCCGTAAAAATTACTCGCCTCACGTTTTATAAACGGAACCGTAATCTAATTATTCCGTAAGGTAATTAGTTCATCAATTCTGAACGTCCGAAGGGTTGCGCACTTGTGGTATAATTCATTTTGGTTTCGTATCAATCAAACGAGCCACGGTGAGGCGTCAGCCAAAGCAATATTTTCTCGCTATTTTGCTCATATGGTAACCACAATTCTGTATTTTAATCAAAGCCACACAGTGCTTGTGACTCTAAAAATTCCTGTCCAATCTGCATAGGTCTAACTGGAAGCCATTTTCCGAAACGCGCCACTTACAAACATGGCGTTCTAGGAATATGAGATTTTGTGTCATTGTGACATTTTCCGAATATCACACTGAAAAACAGACACTATTTGCTCGCATTTTGTTGGCTAAACTCGTTAGACATTTTCATCCATTTTTGATAGGGCCGTCGTCTATTTTTGAAATGATGGCAATTTAAAATAAAAATACAGCGTATTATAAAAACTTTTATAAATAAAACATATCACATTTGTATAAATAATAAATTATTGTTAGAACTTCACAAAATCTGTAGGCATTAAATGTTCCTGGTCAAAAACTGTTAAGTTCTTATTACTTTTTTCTATCATTAACCTAACCGTCTGTTGTGTATGTACTACATACCTAACCATTTCGCTACATTTTCACACACAGTTACCTCAACTCATGTTTCATCTTGTTTCAACTTTTGAAGCTCTGTATCTTCAGTTCCATGATCAACAACGACATTCTGAGGCTTTTCATAAGTTTCGTCATACAAATCTCCTTGCAACTCAATCTGGATCTCTCTTAAACTCTTGCCATTAGTTTCTGGGACCATAAAAAATGAGAACACACCACCAATAAAAGCGAAGGTGGCGTAAAACCAGAACACTCCTGTGAGTCCTGCTATATTCTTCATTGGTTGATACCCTTTGACACATACGAAGTTTAGCAGACCGCCCAGAATGTTCAAGAACGTCATTGCTATTGATTTGACGTTGAGGGGGAATATTTCTGCGGAGACCACGAAGGCCATGGGCTCATAGCCGAGAATGGACACTACACTGGAAAGAATGATACCTATAAATGGAATATAGGTGTAATATGGAGAGCTAGTGGGCTGAATCAAGAAGTACGCCCCAACTACACTAAGGGCTATGCCGGAGCCTAAATAGGAGTAGATGAGTAAAGGACGACGCCCGACCTTGTCTACTATAGCTGATGATATTATTCCTGTAACAATAAACAATTTTAATATTTGTTTCTGATGCTGAGCAGAAAAGTGTCTAAGATTAGCTCGTTGTTTACTAATATAAAAGGGTTGGGCACGGTATTACCCAGTTTTAAATGTTCTGTAATTCTTAGTTACGACATAATTGAGCCAAAAATGTATATCGATCGCTTTATCCTCTATCACAGGAAATGGGGTTTATAAAAAAAATACAATTAATTTATACATTCAGGATTGAAAAAGTTTACGCAAGACAAATGCATCTCAAATTGATTCCTTACCGACAATAAATTTAACCGCTCCGAATGTTATCAACACGATGGATATGTTTACGTTTGTTTTGCTTTCTTGAACGATGCGGCCGAAGTATTGTTGTATAGCTATAGGCCCTGCCATTATTTGAGTCACTTTTAAACCTGGAAATTGAAAATGAAAATGCGGATTAAACAAAACATAAAAAAAACATTGACCATCTAGTTGATGTGAAGGTTTTCTTTTCACGTTACAGTTTTCTTTCAGTAGTGGATACCTTTACAAAAGATAAATTGGTACCCAATTGGTGCTTTGAATCAGACCTATTATTTCTGGATCACGCAAAAAATTATTCCTAGAGAATTAATAATAATTAATTCCCTTACAGATGTTGGAAAAAGTATTATTGCAAAACCGCTACTCAACAATCCCATTAGGCTTATATATATCAAATGCCATTGGTCTCCTAAATCATCACCAGTCCTGCCGCCATAAGGAAAAAAGACGCATCTAACATTTTTGTCGAAATTGAGTTACCTACAAATTCGAAATCAGTAAAAAAATGGCATCTACGAGTATTTTTATAATTCGCATAAATTAAACGGAACCATAAAAATCTCACTGTTAAAAACGACGCATTCGCGATTTGAATAAAATATTACTAAAAAGAAAAGAAATTTCTGTCGTACACTAAGTTGAAAACACGCAAATAAGAAGAAACGTTTTATTTTGTTAAAAAATATGTATTACTTCATAAAATGAAAAGACACTTCTGCATAGTAATACGAAGAAAAGACTGTTCTGCGTAGATGTGCCTTTTCAGCTTAGCGTTACCAAAAATGGGCAGGCGCAAGTGGCAGTAGTGTCTTTCCTACTTAGTACTGTTAGTTGTGCGGGGTGAAGGGGGACTCGCGGTTGGACTACTGTACTTCAGTTGCGTCCAGGCGGTCAGAGTGACGACACGCACGCGTGGCTAAGCGAGCTTATACCTACGGATAAATTAATCGTAAGTCAAATTTCCTCTTATCATCATTTGTATATATTTATTTGTACAAATTTTGTTAATGCAAATGTTAAAATATAAATTGAAATGAATCAGTTAAAAACAAATACCTAATTACTCTAGGAAATCTCTTTTTTCTCGGATTTGTTTACACGATAGCTCAACTCTGTAAAGAAATATGAGAAAGAAGAGTTTATAGGGTATAGGTACTCACTTATTGTCACAATGAAGATGTTTGTAGTTTATACACTTTTACTTTAAGGCGATAGTGTTAAAAAATCAAAACAAAACAAAAATCGTAAGAAAATTTTAATTCGGCGACCTACCGAATTAAAATTTTCTTACGATTTTTGTCGGATTGTATTTTGGTTTAAATATGATCTGACCGAAGTTTTATTGAGTTATAATTAAAATTATTAACTCATTTAGGCCGCTATCCCACTAGGCGTTTTATTAGCGTTGACGTCAACATCGCGTTTGCGCAGCGTCGACACCGCGCTAACGCGACGTTGACGCCGTATCGTCGTGTTCAGTGGACGTTAATGCGTCAGCGCGGTATCAGCGCTAGTAAAACGCCTAGTGGGATAGTGACCTTAAGCTCATTTTAGCATGAAATTATTCACTTTTTCATGAATGTTGAATGTCTAATTCAACGAGTTACAATGAATATAGAGGCGTTTTGATGATTATAAATTTTATAATTTCGAATTTTACCGCCGCAAATCATAGTTTGTTAACTTTATCGAACAAACTGTTATTTGCGGCCGTACAGTACAGCGTGATACTATGTCTTTTATTTCTATCTAGTATTTTTTAATAATTCCTTTATCTTTTTTGTTACAGAGTGACAAAATGCGACATAGTCGATCCTCAAAAATAATTTCTTTAGTGCCATCAACGAGTTCTTCCCAGGAGTCAAATTCGACTAATCATGAGTTGTCTAAGAAAGAAAATAGCGCTTTGAATGATGAAGATTTTCATAACTACGAGTACAGTTCGGACTTTCTTGATTTCGATTCAGACGATTCTGTTTTTGATGAAAATTATTTACCCCTTAGTTCTGATCTGTCTAAATGTTCAGAAGATTCAGATTCTTCTACAAATACCATCCCCTGTTCACAGTCAAAAACTATTCCTGAGTCACCTGAAGTCTCTAATGGCGAAGATATGCCAGAAAGTCTTACAAAAAAAGGGACAATTAGAAAACGTAAAAAGTATGATGAATCACCGGCACAGAGAAAAGAAACTAAAAGACTGAAAGATATGGAATCAAAATACCAACTTAAGCCAGGATGCAATGATAGCTGTAAAAAAAAATGTCATACCAAGTTTACAGAAGTATCACGGAAAAATATAAACCATCACTTTAGAAACATGTCTTGGAAAGAGCAAAAGTATTTCATAATAAACAACACATCCAAAGAAGAGCCTAAGAGAAAAACCGTTACAGAAAACAGAAAACTGCCAAGAAACGTGAGCGTATTATATTTTCTGTCAAATGAAACAGGGTCAAAAGTTAATGTTTGTAAAGTATTTTTTCTAGAAACACTGGGTTACAGTCGGAAAAATGATAAATCCGTAAGGAACGCCCTAACAACTATAACAAACACCATTCCAGTTGATAAGCGAGGAACCAATCCTAATCCAAAAAAGTTTGATGACGCTAAAGTAATACATCATATAAATTCTTTTAATCCTTCCATATCCCACTACAGACGAGAGCACGCTCCGAATAGAAAATATCTTCCGTCTGACCTAACAGTGATCAGCATGTATCGAGACTTTTATGAACGACAAAATATGAAGGACCTACCTATTCATGAACAAATTTCTTACGATTACTATAGAAAAGTTGTGAAGAAGTTAAACATATGTTTTACCAAACTTGGACATGAAGAGTGTGAAGTATGTGAAAAATTTTTTATTCATAATCCGGAGTACAAGGAGAAAAGACACCGAAATTGTCAAGAATGCCGAGATTACGAACGACACCGGCAAAAATATATATCAGCCAGGCAAGCATACAAAAACGATGTAGAAAAACAAAACAACTCAAACGTCACTTCAGATACAGCTTATTTTGCAGCAGATTTGGAGAAAGTAATTATGCTCCCACGAATTGAAGAATTTAAAATTGTAATGTTTTGCCCAAGAATAATAGTATTCAATGAAAGCTTTGTGCCAATAGGTGACAAAAAAAACAATGCCAATTTGCAAACCTTTGCTGCAATATGGCATGAAGCAATTGCTGGACGCAAAATGAGTGATATTATAAGCTGTTTCAAAGCTTTTTTTGCAGGCAAACAGAGATTTAAAAAATGTAGTGATCTGGTTAGATAACTGTGCAGCCCAGAATAAAAATTGGACTTTGTATTCATATTTACTCTATCTTGTCAATTCAGTTGAAGTCAATTATGAAAGGATTACATTAAAATATTTAGAGGTAGGTCACACGCACATGGCAGCAGACGAATTCCACCATCAAGTGGAGCATTCCATGAAAAGGAAGAAACACATCTATGATTTTGAGGATTTTTATCAAGCAGTATCGACCACCAGAACAAATATTGTAGTTAAAAAAATGAATATTGATGATTTTTGCGATTTTGAAGACTGTTCTTCAATTTACAAACTACAAAATACTTCCCCTCGAGCTTATTTGTGTGACATGAGTGAAGTAACATTCCTTAGAGGTACCCACGTCATTCGGTATAAGACAGGTTTTTTTGATGCAGAAGAACACACATTAGATTTCCTGAGGTTAAAAAATATTAAATCTGGGATACCACCTCCTAAACCCAAAATAAAATGTAGAGGCATTTCCCAAGAGCGCAAGTCAGCGATAATACAAAAACTTGCACCCTTAATGCCAGATACAAGAAAATCGTTTTGGTATAATCTACCCATTGACAAAAATAGTGTTGATCTCACTCAATTTGATGAAGAGTAAATTAATTAGGTTGTGATTATTGTTTATATAATTATTAATAAGTATAAATGTGGACACTAAGTGTGTATATTTTTGTTTTTATAAGAGTTTTAACTTCTTCTGTTCTGAAAAATATAAATTAGTTTTAAGTTAGATCTCATTAAATTAATAATGAAGAATTTATAAAAAGCGATACCTGATTAAGCTGTGATTTATTACTAATATTAATTTGTTATGTTAATTAGTGCAAACTTAGACAGTTTTTATAATTTTATTTTTAAAAGAGTTCAAAACTTTATGTTGTGAGTAAAGCTGATTTTTTCTTAAAAATTAAGTTATAGTGTTAGTTTGATTTCACTATGTTTATGATGAAGAGTTTATTATAAGATGAACATTATAAAGCTTATTATTATAAACCTAGACAATTTATATAAGTAATTTGTGGTTTTAGAAAAATTCAAAACTTTATGTTGAAAGAGGTTACAATTGCTATTTTTGTTATTCTGTATTAAATATAGTTCTGATTCCATTATTCTGTGTTTTATTTGTTGTTTATTTAATAAAAAAGAAGTAAGTATCATGTTAAAACATACTTCAATTTATATTAAGGTTTTAACAATCTGTATGTACTTTTTTTTAAATGTTACTAAGTTGAAAAGCAGCAAATGGCTATTAAAGCCCTTTTTATTTAGTTGAATAGAATGTGGTAACGCATTATTACTAAATAGGAAAGACGTTTAAAAAAATACTAAGTTAAAAGGACGTTTCTAGCCAGAAACGTCTTTTCATTGCAGTATCATGTATTTTATTGCATTTTTTTTACTAAAAAGAAACAGAAAATGTATTTTTTTATATATATAATAATTATTTCATTAAAATTAAAATATTGGTTCTTGCAGATAAAACTTTAAGTCAGACTTTAGCACCTCAAAATTATTTTTTTGCCTATTTACTTTCGCACAGCAAAGGTTTTAGTTTTATAACTACACATTATTTTTTTTCTCCATTTTGTATATTATGTAGATACGTCCTTTTTTTATGGCGGCAGAGTCTATTTCTAAATATCTCATTGCTGATTAAAGACCTCTTCTCACAGGGAGCAAGGTTTTTTCAATCGTTTTGTTCACTTTTTTACTGCATTTCCGTGGTGTCTAAACAATCTTTGAAAGTAAATATAACTCAGAAAGTTACATTGGTGCTGCTACTATCTGATTTTAGAAACCGCAGTCTCCTGATGAGAATCAAGCAACCTCGACGATCATGACTTTTTTCTCTTAGGTTCATGTACGATTAAGATTGAAATGTCATCAAACTTACCGGATGCAATGATAAGCGCCTTACGGTACCTCTTCCCAGTGAACATCTCTTTAGCAGAACCAGAACGATGCATCTCTTTTTTGACGTCCAACTTCATCGCTAACAGCTTTTCTTCTACAGCCTGAAAAACGTACAAACAAATCTATTCTTATCTTGATCATGACATGGCTGCAGTTATCAAAGTGATTGGGTAAAAATTGGTAGTGGATTTTGGTAATGAAATTGACTTCTATTGCAAGCATGGAATTAGAAAATTCGTAATTATTCATCTCCGTTGGTAGGTACTTAGAAATGATTTGCTAACTAAAGTGGCAGTGGTCACATTTTTCGAAGAACTGATGACCGTTAGGGTAGACGTGTTTTGGAGTAGAGACCACGTCTAGGCCAATGTAGTTTAGGGCGTCTTCGAGCTAGGTGAACTGACGATATCCATAAGATCGCTGACAGTGGATGGATGAGAAGAGTTGAATATCGAGCTCCATGACGTGAAATCGGAGAAACTTATGTTCCGCAGTGAAATCAAACGGGGGGTGATGATGATGATAATGATGTGCTACGAAAGGCATGTAAAGCCGTTGCAATCCCGCCAAACCCCTGTCCTGAAGTATGGAGTCGGAGACCTCTGTTCCGTTTTGTAAGAGACCTCTGTCCTGACGTGTCAGATGGTCGTCTGAATCACGGAAGAGAGATCATCAAATTATAAAAGTGAGAGTTCAGAGCCTCGTCCTGTGCTTGCGCGCACACACACACACACACTTGTCCACTATAATGTCTCCCACCGTCCACGTAGTGAACTAGTATTGTTGACTTAACTGACCTCCTTGGTCGGAATCAACCGAGATTCTTAACCAAAAAAATCATGTTCAAAATTAATTTCTAGAAATCTCACTCTCTTTTTCAAATGCTCACCTTTTCATCTCTATCTCCACTCAACCTCTTGAGGGAAGCTCGTGCTGCATTCACTTTTCCTTCTTTCAAGTAGAAATAAGGTGTCTCTGGGATAAAGCTACAGGCTATTAAGTAGCAAATTGGAAGGGCAAGGAATATGTAGCTGAGGGCGTTGAAGGATATAAAAGGTCCAATAGACATGATGATGAAGCTTCCGAAACTCAACATAAAGCGGATGGATGCTGTCAATTTCCCTCTGATCTCTTTGTCTGCTATTTCGGCTAAGTACATTGCTGACACCTGAAAAGAAATAGAAAATTGGTCTCGAAATTATTTATCTAAATTAAATAAAAATATTTGCATAACCGTTTTGTATCTACATACATATTCTACAAAGTACCTACACATGGCTACAAAAAAACAATATAAACTAACCGTTGGATCTGAGGAAAGTTTATATACAGCGGGACCTTGATAAACTGGTATTTAATAGCTTGGCAAATATGTTCTATTGCATGGTGGTAACATATTCAAAATAGCTGTTGGCAATGGTAGCTTTATGTTAGCGTATAATATAGTTAAATATGTTGCATGTAAATGCATAATATTGTCTTCAAAAAAGCCCCACAAGATGTTTTTTTTTTCTACAAACCTCTCAGTATTTATTACTATTTATCAAGGAGTATAGAATTGTTTTCAGTAACTTCATTACTTTATATTTATTACATGGAAAGCTAGTGAGGCATCTGCCCACCTATTTGATTCATAATTAAATAATATATTATAATAAGGAACCAGTTTAGATAATTTTCCAAAATGACTTACTGTTCCAATCATACCCGTACCAAAACCCCATAAGTAGCGCGTCACGTAGAGACACCGCGCTGATGCAGTAGTTAAAATAACTGTCTGAAAACATATCAAAATTACATGATAGAAAGAAAGAAAAGAAAGCATTTATTGGGCGCCAAGCATAATGTCAGCCTGGGCTGCGGGGTGTAGCGACATCTATCGCACAACATAACAAGAGCAACAATCACGTGCAAGATTCTACATCGCGCAAGTGAAGTTTACGCGCTAAATAGCACAGTAGAAAACTCCCGACAACAACTGTCGGGCAGTAGCCCACCAGGCACAAACACCTCGCCTGGTCGGAGGATCCTCCCTTTTCAATGGAGGATGAGGAACTTTCCACCCTGTTCCTCATACCTCTAAACTGGTGATCCCAACGTGATATGAACACGCAAGCAGCCTTCGTGCAACTACTTCATAGCCATGACGTCATCTCTTCCTCGAGCTTTCAAGCAGCGAGTCTACTGTCAGCCAGCTTCCACGGCTACAACGGGTTCCCTGACCACCAGCATGCAGCCGACGCGCATTCCTGGTCAGCACCTACAGCGCAATGAGGTAAGCGCAATGAGGCATCGCGACCTCGGCCCAGAGCAGGAGATCCTTCTCCTGCTCTGGACTATATATCTACAGGGGGATTTTTAGTCAGTAAGAGTCTGACACTCCCTCCCGCCCGGCCCTGGGCGGGAGAAGTCATTTGATGATTTTCCACTCACAAAAAAAACGAAACGGAATAATACTTTGTGTGATCCACAAATACATATAGTTATTCCGAATTTGGTTTAATGCTCATGTACTATTGATTGGTGTCAATTTAAAAAAAACCTTAAGATGCACTGATAATAAAACATATTTTTGTTTTTATACATACTTGTCTATTATTTTGAACTATTAACAAATGAAAAACAGCAGGAGAAAGCTGGACTTCTGCCTACAATTAAAATAAGATGCATTCCAGTGCCGACTTACAGTTCCGATGAGAATCGGCAAACCACTGCCCAGAACAGCTGTTCGTCTGCCGAACTTATCCGAGACAATCCTGGTCGCCATACTCCCAGCCATGTACCCCGGAGACGCCAGGGCGGCCACCCATGATATCTGATCCTGAAAGATAATTTTGCAAATCTTTCTTAGTTTTCTAGTTCAGTTTTAGACAAAATATAGAGAAAGATATGCTAAATTTTTTAGAGTTCGTGAGAGGATGAATGAAGAATCAAAAAAGGAATTTGTAAAATCCATATTAGTGGTAATAGGAGACGGTTATATTAAAATTAAACAACCGTATTTGTATGATTATATGTATAATAGTGGTGGCACAGAGGTTAAGGCGAAACCCGGCAAGTACCTATATGACTTTCTATGACTATTTAGACATTGCTGACATACGATAGAGGAAAACATCGTGAGGAAACCTTGACTTATAATTTCTTATTATAAGGTTGAAATCGCCAATCCTTCTTGAGCAAGCGTAGTAATGAATGCTCAGATCTTCTTTGTGTGAAAAGAGGTCTTTGCTTAGATGTTGATTATAGATGTTTGTATGATTAGGAAGCTTAATAATTATGCAAGGATTGTATAAGGAGCTCATAACTCCTATATGTTTTATTGGTCAGTTTTACTTAAACTTTTCCTTTCTTATGTAAAAAAAAATTAACCAGGCCAGACTACAGACAGATAGCCTACTAAATAGTTTAAGCATTAATATAACTACTGGAGATGACACCATAACTATCACTTGTCACACGAAACGCTTCGTAATTTTACATCATCGCCATACCATTCACAAATAAAACGATCGAACAAAGTCATTGTTGAACAGCACTTACAAAAAAAACGGCATTTTTTGCCCTATAACCGTCTACATGAATAAATAACATGAAACTTAATAAATTACAAAATGACCTTGAGAATATATAAAAGATATATTCAGTAGGTATGTATAAACCTTACGTCTGTAATGATGATATTAGTTTCATTGTTGTGGAACTTCGGTATGACAGGAGTACTCCATGCTTGTGTGGCTCCAGCTACCATAGCAGCCAAGGACACTGGAAAAATTAAAGATTCTTTTTTATTTCGGATTACCTGATGGTAAGCAATCAGCACCACCCGTGGATACTCGTAATACTAAAGGAATTACTACAAATGCGTTGTAGATTTCTTGGAGCGTTTCCGACCTCTTGTGGGTTTTAAGGGGTTTAAGGATGGGGGGTTTGAGGATGAGGAGGAGGTTTTGGGTCTCCCATAACCTCACTCACACGCCGAAACACAACGTAAGTATTGCTCCATGTCGGTTTCCGGTCGAGCCGGCCCATTCGTGCCGAAGCAGGAGAGCCATCTCCCATACTTATAACTGTTTATGATATTAGAAATATAAATATGTATAAAATAATAATTATGTAGTCACACTAAAGTCTCTGAAATTTCCCTAAAAGTATAAGGATGTTTGGCCTGTAAATAAATTGACCTTCTATTAGTATAAATTAAATCAATATTCAACGCTAATGAAGACGAAACATGCAGAACATCGAACTAGTAGCTTGCCATAAATACCATTAACGATCTGCTGTGTCGAAAGCGTGAAAACAAATTTTGGAATCTCACAAATAAATATCGTATATCTAATACATAAACGCTAATAAGAAATAGGCAGGGATTTAGCTCTGATAGTCATACACAGTCCGAATTTTTTTTTCACTGGCCTTAGCTACTCGTAGCTTGTATTGCCGGCGTTAGCGGGGTAAACGCAATGAGTCACCGTGGCCTCGGCCTAGAGCAGGAGAAAGAACGGGGTCTTTTTAGTCAGTAAGAGTCTAACACACTCTCTGTCTCTCTCATTACCCTGAACGGGAGAAGTGATTGGATGATTTCCCTCTTACAAAAAAAGCTATCTTATATTTAAATATGCAATGCATGCCTATTTTACAAAGACACCGATGCAAGAACCCGGTATTGTTCATATCAATCGGTATTGTTATTTATTTCATCACAATAATTTAACTAGTACAACACTGTCAGTTCACAATAAGGAGTGAGAAGTGTGAAGTCAAATATTGATTACAATTACCTATCACGTCCTTAATTAATTGTTATTAAAAGTTTTTGGGTATAATGAGGGGTGTCAGACACCCGGTCCTTCTCCTTTTCCATGCCTAGGCCGCGGTACCTTATAAACGCCGGCTAAAATATCTAAAATTCAAATTCTATTCCATCAGTAAGAGAAAGTGAAATAAAAAACCATTTATATCCGACACGGACTTTGAACTAACTAATCACAATTACGACCATTTGACCAATATCAATAATACAATTATCACACTCATTTTTACCCCTGGTATGACCGCAGATCTACGCGAGACACAATGCGTTTTCTATTTTGTCTCATATACCGGCAACCGAGAAGTTAGTAGCATCAATATACTCGAATATAAAATACTATAATAAGTATAAATAAATAAATATATACATTATACAAAATCCTATTACACGGGACTCTTTACATAACGTATGAAAGAAAAACAGATACAGAAACATTTGTTTTACACGCTAAAAAACAAAAGACAAGCGTCGACTGTACTAGTAGGTACCTACTTGGTCTTAATGGTGTTGGTAAGTTCATGTCTCTAGGCCGTGTCTAAAGGTCTGTGCTAAGCTGTCGTTCGGAACAATTGAAGAAAGGGAGTGGTTTTTAGACAGTGAGAGTTAGAGAGAGAGAGAGAGAGAGAGAGAGAGAGAGAGAGAGAGAGAGAGAGAGAGAGCGAGAGAGAGAGAGAGAGAGCGAGAGAGAGAGAGAGAGAGATACTCACCGCCTAAAGCATTAGATAATGACGTGAGAAGTCTATCAGCTTCGGGGATTAATAGACGTAGAAAAAAGACTCACCAGCCGCAGCCACCAGGTACTGAGCTCTTCTCCCTTTCTCCATGACAATCACGTGTTTACCAAGTCACTGACAATTTCTTTCCATTCAAAAATAAATTCTAACGCCCTCAAATAAAGTCTCAAAATAAACTAATCATTGTGACCTTGAAGCGTAGTATTCATTCACATACAATTAAATACCTTTACATATTATCATAAAAATAAATACACAAGTACACGCCAGTAAGATGAATCTCTGAATGATTCACATTATCAAATCTAGTGTTAGATAAAAAATCGGTGAGGCGGAAACCTAAAAATTCATTTAAAACAACAAATTTTGTGAAGGCTGATCTCTTATCTTTAAGATATGTCAAATCATGATGCGGAGGCAGTTTTCTTGATAGTTTCTGAATGCCAGACAATCGTGTTCATCATAACTGTCCCTTGTTTTGTCAGAAAATCCTTTTTCATGTAAAGCAAATCACCTTCGTCAATGCAAAGATACAAATAAATTATCTTTTTAAGGTATCAAGAATATGTCTTTTTACCAAAATACTTGGTTCTATTTTTCTACCTTCGACTTAACTTATCACTCAGAAAGTACTTGTTATAAAATAAACGGTAATTTGACTATTAAAATACAGCCCACGCAACCAAATAAAGACTGACTGTTCGTTTTTTGAACAGTGTTCTTTTATGTGTTAGAAAGAGATAGAAGTACACCCAACCGGTACTTTTCTAACTGTGAAACAATACCTCTTAGTGCACGTTAATAAAGACCATAGCAATAATTTGTACTGTAAACTTTATTACGTGTCCTACAGACTGGGGATTGACAAAATCAAAGATAAAAAAATGGTTTTAAATATTCTTCACGAGTAATTAACTAGTTAGTTCTTTGCAAAAACAATTTAACGGACAGGTTTATTTACATATTTACTTTAGTGTGGCTTGAAACCTTCAGTTTTATCTGTTTGATAAAATTATAACACGGGTCAACGTTACCGAGGACAATTCAAAAAAATAAAAAGAATCTGGAATTTTGTTAGGTGTATTATGCACTGCCTTAGTCCCCGCAAACAGCATTGGTCTGGTTATGTTTTTGAAAAAATTTCATAAATATCGATGACTGAACATAAAATCGCAAGTTTTGCAAAACTGCATAATTTATAAACCCCAAAATTCGCATTTCAGTATAGTTCAGCAAACGAGCAAACGTATTTATTGCCTGATGGTAAGCAGTCAGCGCCGCCCTTATATCACAGGAGTTACGAGTGCGTTGCTGGTCTTATAGGGATATGAGTTTTGGATATTTAAGGATAGGGAAGGGATAGGGGAGGGTTTGGGCCATGTTTCCCCTAACCTCACTCATACGTCTAATAAACACAACGCTGTGACACTGTCTTGTGTGATAAAAACTGTCTTTAAATAGTTGAAACCCACGCAACTCTGTATGATCAATATCTGTCGTATGTATATAATTGAAGGTATCTTTCAACGACAAAAAACGTTGGTACCAGTAATGTATTATTTAATGCTATTCAATAGTATTGAAGTACCAAAAATTATGACGTCACCGTTTATTATCCATTCAATATTATAAACACGTATCTGTCAATTTGAACAGCTAAAAATAATCATAACGTTTGCGGTAAGTACTGTTTTTACGGCATTGCCGATAGGTCCGGCTTAAGGCGATTCGCAAAAAAGGTAGAACATACGTTATAGGCTGATGGTGTAACGAAGTGAAAAAAACAAGGTCAAATCAAGAATCAGAAAATTTTTTTGCTACAATCACACGTAAGTGTTGGTACAATGTCTTCTTGGGTTAGGAGTTATCTCTGTGTACTCAGAACCATCAAATTAAAACTACAAACAAAACCTTAGTTCGGGTCTAACCAGATTTTTAATAAAAAATAAAACTTGTTAGATTAGTTTATTCGTAATCGGTTAAAGCTGAACAATCAAGTCCACTTTTTCGATATAAATAATACTACAACTCTTTTTATAGTACTTTTAATTACAGCTCCAACATTTTTATTAACCATAATTGCTAGATCTTCTAACATCATATACCAACTGGTATTTTTCAATCAATCTGAAGGTCATTAAGTCATTCATCTTGTAATCTCTTTTAATTCTGTGTTTTCGTTGATCTCTGTCTCGTCTCGTGCCTTCAAAAGATCATCAGGTTGATCGTATATATTGCCTTGTAATTCTATTTGTATTTCTCTCAAACTTTTTCCTTTAGTTTCTGGGACGATAAAATATGTAAATATTGCTCCAATGAAGGCCATGACAGCGTATAACCAAAATATTCCGTACAACCCCGTCCAGTCCTCCATAGGTTGGTATCCTTTAACAACAATAAAAGTAACGAAGGCAGAAAAAATATTTAATACAGTCATCGCAACTGATCTAACATTCAAAGGGAAGATTTCTGAAGGAATAATAAATATTAAAGTGTCAAAGCCTATGCTAGATATGACTATAGAAATGACAATCCCAACAAATACGACGAAGCGAAATGGGTTTGTGGATTCGTCGTCGATGCCGATGACTTGTTGGAGGAAGAAGTAGGCTCCTACCATGGCCAGCATCACACAGGAGCCTAGGTAGGTGTAAATGAGCAGTGGACGACGGCCCACCTTGTCGACGATCATTGGTGATATGAAACCTGGAAAGAAGAGAAAGGCGAGTAAGTTCGCAGCGACGTTTGTATATTAATATTAACATATATCCACACCCATATTCTTGTTGTTATGCAAAGAGAGACTTTTTAAGCCACCCATTTTTTGTTAGTTTAAACTCGAATAATTATAACTAACGCAGAACGCGGGACACGGGCGGAAGCTAGCCCGCGTCCCACTAGGCTGGATTAATCCAGGATATTACCTATCTACGTCCAAATTCACACATATGTATAATAATATGTAGGATTCACATTTGTAATATTATGTAGGACTAGCGACCAACCCCGGCTTTGCACGGGTCCAATACTGATACTAAATTTGTCTACTATTTTATGGATGTTATACTTTTAGGTTCGTTTGTGCATGTAGCTTGGACCGCCTGTAAAAGGAGAGGATAAAATAGCTAAACGGCCCATACTCACAGTATTATTACCTTGAAGCGTGGCATCACAAAGGTGCATTCATATATACTAATTTCTATAATTTTTTTTATTGAATGGATAAAAATGGATACATTTTTAATTAGGGATAGTATAAGTGAGATATAGATGAGATATAATCAGAATGCTCCGAACTGCTAAGCTCTCAGGAGTTACACACCCATTATTAAAAGATATATACTGTTGTAGGATATTTTGTAAATAATTTTAACATTCCCTTTATACATAATTTCTCTGTAACTTAAACCATTAAGGCTGCACACGTGACAGAAGCAAAAAAAATTTAGTAACTTCTTCCGTTTCCCCAATATTTCCCTTCACTGCTTTGCTCCTATTAATTGTAGCGTGATGAAATGTCCTATAACCTGCCCAGGAATATAAAGAGTAATTGTACCAAGTTTCATTAAAATCCGTCCAATAGTTTTTATTTCTATAAGGAACAGACTGACAAAAATTGTACAGATTGCATTTTAGCATCAGTATCGATCACTTATCATCCACTGATAGTTATTTCGAAAATATACCTTCATGTACTGAATTAACCTCTCTACAGATTTATTATAACAATAGATTTAAAACTAAATTATTCCATAACTAATTTTGAACTAACTTATAAAGTATTCAGAAACATGTTATTAGGAAACGCCTAAACAGTTTACCTATGACGAATGTACCAGCCGGCCAAAAGACCAATAATTACCGTACAGGCGATCCACACCCTATCAACCAGGCATTCTAGCTCCAAGGTATAAACTGAAAACTCTCACGATCTTATTTGCATTCATGAATGTTCAAGTCAGAGCTCTTGGAGTTCCCATTAGCACAGTAGTTCTCACAAGGTAAAGTCCAATGCATATTTGATCACAAGTAAGTTTGTTCTTACCAACTACAAATCTAACAGCTCCAAAAATAACGAGGGCAGTTGAAACTCGCAAGCCGCAGTTACTTTGTTGAATGATACGGCCCATATACTGCTGTATGGGTATACTGCCAGCAAAAAGTTGAGTAAATCGTAGACCTGAAATTAAAAATCAGTTTATTATACTAAAGCTCTTAATTACGCTATCCAAACTATAATAATAAAGTAACTCTGTCTGTCTGTCTTTTCTTCATGCCTAAACTACTGAACCGATTTCTGTGAAATTTGGTTCTGAAACAGTTTGAAACTCGAGAAAGGCCATAGGATAGTTTTTATACTGAAAATCTGCAGGAAGTCACTATTCAACGCGAACGGAGTCGCGGGCAAAAGCTAGTATTTTTTATATCTTGTTTAATAAGCACAATAGATCATTGCTTATTTCAAAAAATATTGTTTATTTTGAAATACTTTGTATTAAAAAAACTACAACGTTTTAAACAACAAAAAAGCAGTTGGAGACGAGAAATGTCATTCTATGAATCTACCTCTTCAAAAAATTATTTCAAAAACGTACCAGCAGTTACTATAACAGCTTTCCTATATTGCTTGCCAGTGAGCAGTTCCTTTGCTGAACTAGACCGCTGCATCTCCTTTCTTACATCGGACCGCATTTGGGACAACTTCTCTTCGATCATCTGCGGAATACAAAGAAGGATTTTTTTTTATGTGATAGATCAATCAGCAAACGAGCTGGTGGATTACCATCCATCATTGCCACGCCCATGGACACTCGTAATACAAAAGGAACTACAAGTGCATTACCGACCTCTTGTAACTTATAAGGGATTGGGAATTTCAGAAGTCAATCCTTCTTTTCCCTCAATCTCACCCAAATTCCTAAATCTCCGAAAGCCAAATCCGCACTCGTAACTCCTCTGTTGTGGCGGATGTCCATGGGCGACGCCGATCGCTTAACACCACGAAATATATCTCAGAAGACCTATCACATAAAAAACACCATTTAGAAGAACTAACGATTTACTTGAGACCACGTCTAGGCAAACGTAGCGTAGGGCGCCCTCCAGCTAGGTGGACAGGCGACATCCGCAGGGTAGCTGGCAGTGGTTAGATTAGAAGAGCTGAACATCGAGCTCAGTGGCGTGCAATTGGCGAGGCCTATGTCCAGCAGTGGACGAAAACAGGCTGATAATGATGATGATGATCATGATGAACGATTTACTTTATAACACAAACCTTTTCATTCTTGTTCCCACTGAGTCTCATCAATTCTTTCTTTGCAGTATCCACCTTGCCTTCTTTGAGCAAATAATAGGGTGTTTCGGGAATTCTCCAGCAGGCTAAGAAGTAACAAATGGGCAGTGCGATTAGAAAGTAGCTCAGAACTTGATAGGACACGAAAGACCCTATCGCCAGCATTAGGAGAGCTCCAAAACTGAACATGAACCTCGTCCCAGCGGTTAGAGTTCCTCTGATCTCTTTATCTGCTATTTCTGATAAATAGACGCTTGTAACCTGCAAAAATTATAAAAAAAAATAGGAATATACTTATGAATAAATACTTTTAATTGTATTTCAAATGTGTTATATTGTTTCCTTCTTTTTATAAACTGATTTCGTCCTGTGTCGCGAGTGTGCTTACAAAACATATCATTTCACCCAGGCCCGGAACAACAGTTTGTAGATCACATGAATAGTTAGTTGCTCTGTGCGAGGAAACAAACCTATGACTGGTCGCTCGGTAGCCAGTTACCCAGCCTAGATTTTATTATTAATTATTGAAATAATTTCAAAGCCAATTCAATACAAACAAACAAATTATTAAATCTTTCCTCTATGAATATTGACAAAGTCTTTTAAGGAAGATCGAAATGATGAAGACTAACCGTAGTAATCATGCCGGACCCTAGTCCCCACAAAAACCTGCCGATGTATAGCAGCCAGGGTTTCGTTGCGTGCAACACGAACGCCTACGAATATAGAAAATCATACACATGTGTAATTTAAACAATAACTTTGTAATTAATACAATAAGTTAGTAGATAACATTTATAGAAGTAGTGCTACTCTGAAAATGGTAAACTCATTTTGAAAGTCATGTCGCAAATCACCATTTTTAAATTCTTAAAATTCAATTTTTGCACTTATACATTATTAATGATGGAAAATTCTCAATCACAGTTGAACACAACGCATCTTACTCCAGTTCGATATCCTGGCACCTATCAATCAAAACTAATATTATAAATGTCAAAGTAAGTCTGTCTGTCTTTTCTTCTCGCCTAAACTACTGAACCTATTTGTGCGAAATTAAATAAATTAAGGTACTTACAGACATAGTTTGGAACTCAAGAAAGGACAGATAATAGTTTTTAAACCAAAAATCTGCAGGACTATTCCATGTCAACAAAATCGCGGGCAAAAGCTAGTAATCTATAAGTCCAACGTTCCTCTCGATGTTTTCCTTCTCTGTATGTCACCTTGGTATTTGTCAGGTTTCGAACCCATGCATAGTATGCATAAGAAGCGGGCGCCTTAACCTCCGGGCTACTACGACCACGTGACCATGAGATATTTTATGTGAAAGAGCCAGAAAAAAGATGTTAAGTACCCACCGTGCCAATGATAAAAGGTAAAGCACTAGCAAGTAGAGTGACTCGCCTGCCGAACTTGTCCGACACTCCGCTGGCAGCCAGGCTGCCTGTGACCATGCCTGGCGAAATCATTGCGACCACCCACGAGATCTCGCTCTGCCAACATAACAAATATTACAATTATTTTAAAACACTATTATTATATTAGAATATTAGAAATTTTATATAGTAATAACTTCTCTCGCGCAATTTCACCCGCTGCTCGGTTCCTACAGATCATAGCGTGATATAGCCTAAAGCCTTCCTTGATCAATAATCTATTCAGCAAGAAATAAATTTCGAACCAGTAATTCCTGAGATTAGCGAGCATAGATTAACTTGATATGCATTTTTATAAAAGGATGAATAAATAACTACACAAGATTGACGCCAAAATATATAGTTACCGTCCATTACCCAACGGACCCAACCTAATTGGTGACCCAAAACTTAAGACTGCCCCCTAGTGCAGTGGACTAGCAACATTTTGAAATGTAAGTATTTTTATACATTAAGACGGAAATACATTATTGCTATCGGTTTCCAGCCGACGTACAGGTGCCAGCGTATAAGCGCAGTAATGTACCATGTTTCTTAGTCCAAATGTACCATGACCCCGACCCGAAGCAGAAGAAGGCACGAGGTATTTCTTAGTCCGCAGACCGAAAGATCATGTGGTGGTCGAAGATCATCCATCGATCCGTGACGCCCGGAGTGTTGACTACTGCAGCGGCTGGGGCGTAAGGAGGATAGCTCCCTCACACGCTCCGCCTCCTCCTTTGCGAGCATAACTGCTTCTCATAAAGAGAAGACGGCTTCGACTTAGGCCGGGCGCGAGAGGTCGCCGCCGCCAATCACTTCCCTGGGGAAACGGCGGTGCTCAGCCCAGGCAGGGCACACCGCCACCGTATGCTCCACCATATCCTTTAGGTGGTCTTTACAATGACGACACTCGGCCAGAGACAAACTTTCGTCGCGTTTGCGACACGAATCGCCACACCAAATAAATGTGTCTTCTAACGTTTTCCTATTTACACCTCTGTGATAAGAAACATACACTACCCTCATCTTACGATCCAATTATATCTAACAAATAGGAACAGTCCGCGCATTTACATGATAAGAAAATAAATATTGACTGAGTACATATGTACATACAAAATTATTTCGTTTTTAATGAAGTTTTATCTTTTAGTGGGTTTGTAGGAATAAGTGAGTTATTGCTTATAAACCTTCATAAGAATCGAGACCACGTCAAACGTACAGGAAAGGTAAAGCTACAAACTATGCGATCTAGCGGCGAAACAACAGCAAGAATGAACCAGATGTAGGTGAAGTGAAGAATGTTATTATGCTTTGATTTAATACCTAAACATTAACGGCCTTATTACAAAACAAGGTTTTACTTTAGTCTAGGACTAAACCATTGAGCCAGTTCTCGTATTTCGAATTGAAAGTAGATGACAATAAAATTCAAAATTCAAAACCGGACTCAATGGTTTAAACCTGGACTAAAGATAAACCTTGTTTTGTAATAAGGGGGTAAGCGTTAATAGCCAAAGAATGGTCTCAGTACTAAGTCATCTTACCTAGTTTTTGTTTATGCATACGAAATAAATGTTCAGAGTATATACCTAACCTTCTTTGTGTTGTGAGGGGAAAATCGTCAAATGACTTCTGCCGCCCAGGACGGGGCGGGAGGAAGTGTCAGACTCTTACTGACTAAAAACCCCTGTCCCTTCTCCTGCTCTGGGCCGAGGTCGCGGTGTCTCATTGCGCTTACCCCGAAACCCCGGCTGAGAGTATACTTAACCTAGGAATATCTATGAACCTTGTTCTAATATTTAGTAGCTTCATTTATTTATCTTATCTCCAGTCCAGTTATATGATTTTATCTTAAGTGTTCCACGTGGATCGCCGTATGTGTAACACAAAACACCGGAACAGTATGTATTTAAATCACAAAGAATTTTCCGTGCTGGAACCAAAACCCCAACTTGTTGCACATTCAAGCATTCTACCAGCCACTGCGCCAACTCGCCAACCGTGCATTCCATTCATCTATAATTCTAATTTTATTCTATTCTAGTTATTTATAGATTTTTTTTCCACTATTTATTTAATCAAACCCCAAGCAAAAGCCGACATTCGCATTGTGTCTTTTTATCGAATTACCACGATCTATAGGTTAATAAATGTAATGTTAATACATTATACACATTCCTCTTCATAGACTCTATCTATATATTTATGTAGAAAAAAGGATGGACTTTAAACGCATACATAGGGTGACTGTATTTTATACTATGTATTTAGTGATGTAATATAATTCGTAATTATATGTATTTTGAACAGATTAAATAATATTATGCGTTAAATCTGCTTAAAATAAATCATATGAAAATAGTTACTGTTTTCGTGTAGCACACTTCTATTTAGTATGCAAGTGTGATTGATATATTTATTCCTTTTTATTAGTGTTTCTAACTAATAATAGCGAATCATTACATACATACATCACATATTTTATAGGTATCTACGTATGTACTTAAATTCACGTGTAACTTACTTTATTACTAGCTGACACGGCAAAGGTTGTTGTCCAATATACATTTTTTGAAAAAAAAATGTTACACCTTTAACATTTTTTTATATATTGGAAAACAATCCTTATAACTTAGGGGTATAAAAATAGCCCGATGCCGATTCTCAGACCTACTTAGACATTTAGAATTTGGTTAAAATCAGTAAATCCGTTTCGAAGGAGTAAGGTAACTCACATTGTGACACGAGAATTTTATATAGAGAAGTTATTATACTTACATTCGATATTCTAATGCTGGTCTCATTACTGTGGAACTTCGGAAGGATGGGGGCGGTCCAGAAATACGCCGTACTCGTCGTCATTGTTGCTATTGACACTGTAAAACATCAGTTCAAGTTTTAATGCATTTTCAACTTTAACACTAGACTATGAAGCTGAAAATCAATTCAAGATTTTGTTATACTAGTACATGTAATAAAATGACATTTCATTATGTTGTCCAATAATAGTAGAAGACACGTTATAAAATGGCGGATTATGTTTTAATTTGTTATGTGTACCTATTTTATTGTTTTAAAAAATCTTGTTGAGAGTAAATATACAAAGGGATATAATTGAGGAAGCGAGATTAATTAACTTTAATGTCGTTTTTTTTATTTTTATTTTTTTATTGATTGTAGGTTCGCGCTTGACCGCTATCTCACCTGTTGTAAAGCGACGATGCGGTCGACGATCGATGGTGCGCGCTTACCTAGAAGTAACCTATTTACTCTTGACTTAAAGATACCCGGATTGTAGCTATCAGGAAACACCGACTCCGGCAAGGAATTCCACTCCTACGCATAATGAATGTGCTCCCAAAACGTTTTGTACGTATATGTGGGACATCCACCATGTACCGGTGTGGCGCAATGCCGTACGTCTGGTGGTTTCTTTGTATTTTCTGGTAAGATAAGTGTTATTGTTATAATTAAACGATAATTATACCAACACAGTAAAGGCGTGTCAAATGAAATCAATCTTTGTATTTTCAGAGAAACAAATTGTGGTTTATTTCGAAAATCCTCAATAAAATATCCTTAAATACATATCTATTATCAGTCTAGGTTTGAATGTTCTTTCCGCACAATAAACAGATTGATTTGAATACTCAATACTAAATACCTTTATCGCTTTACCATAAGTACTAATAAAGGTGGTAGCAATATAATATATTAAAAGCATAAGTACTAGTAAAGTGGATAGATCAATTATGGACCCTGTCATCAACATCATCATTAGCCTATAATTGCCCACTGCTGGGCAAAGGCCTCTTCTCCTACGGAGAAGGTTAGAGCATTAATCACCACGCTTGCTCAATGCGGGTTGGCGATTTTAAAGTTATAATTAGAAATTATAAGTCCAGGTTTCCTCACGATGTTTACCTTCACCGTATGTCAGTGGTGTCTAAATAATCATAGAAAGTACATATAACTCGGAAAAGTCACATTGGTACTTGCCAGGTTTTGAACCCACACCCTCATGCATGAGAAGCGGGCTCCTTGACGTCCGGGTCACCACGACAATACCCTACGACCCTGTAGGGCACAGCAAAATAAGGCAAACAGGAGAGAGGAAGCTCTGTTTTAATAAATTAATAAAATAATGATGAATGAGTTTATGACAAACAGTAGCAAACGAGCTGACAGATCGCCTGATGTTAAGCATCGACGTCACCTATAGACACTCGGAACGCTAAAAGAATGACAGCATGCTCTGGTCTTTTGGAGATTAAAGGATTGGGCTTTCGATTATTCACGTTCTACCAGTCTCTCAGTTTTTTTTTTTAAGAACGTTGCCCCACTCTTAAATTTTCTCCTGTGTCGTAGGTGCGTTTACTAACATACAAGCCCATACAAGACCCGGAACAACAATTTGTGGATCACACAACACAAGTGTTTTTTCGTGCGGGTATCGTTCCCGCTACACGTTGCACAACAGACAACCAAACGTGTAGTTTAATTATAAAACAACATTTTAGGCGAACAATGACACTTAAACATTAGATATCTATTATTAAATACGTTTTCTACTTTGTGTTAAGGTCAAATAATTTTATGATAGTCTTATCTCGTGTTTTTCTCAATGTTATCACAGAAATAAACAATATTTCCTGCTTGTACATATATCATCGGATATACATCTCCGTGGTATAGTAGCACTGAACTAGGCATTTTTGTGCATGCTAAGTGCCATGTTTCGGCACGAATGGGTCCGCTCGACCGGAGCGATACCACGGCCTCACAGAAAACCGGCGTGAAATAACCACAGCGTTGTTTCGCCTTGTGAGTGAGGTTACCGGGGGCCCAATCCTTCCCCTCCCCCTATCCCTCCTCAATCCCTAAATCTCCCAATCCCTTATCCCTAAAAGGTCGGCAAATCACTCGTAACTCCTCCGCTGTGGGTGTCCTCTGCTGTGGGTGTTATTGTCACCATTTTTAACCGCTATCTATCATCTACAAGATATTCAACGATATTCTTAAGGATTTTCACGATAGCTGTCCAATAACCACTTCGTATACTCCTTATAATAATATGATTGTTTTTAAGATTACATACGTATTGGATATAAAAAATAGGTAACTTGTAAACCTCTTCCTTTTTTGTGTTCAAAAATAACTCTACCCATCAAAATATTTTTTTCCTGTGACGTGGATTCGTTTTCAAGCATTTAATACGTAGGTAATCTGTATTAGTAGATACTAATATAAAAAAAACCGTGAACAGATGTTTGTAGGCAATAAATATCGTATGACATTTTTGCTTATATTTGCACGGGGCAGATAAAAGTGCAAACACTAAGTAATTACCTATATATGTACAAACGTGACACTACGACACCAGACCACGATAAGGAAATAATTGACGCACTATCAAAGAACCACCAGACCCATCCGAGATGGGGGGTCTACTAGGGTATCAGTTTAAGCATGGGACGTCGGTGCCCCCACCGGACTCGACCACGCGCCGCTAATAGCTTCCTGCTCGCTTGGCTTGCCCTTGCTCGAGCGCGGCTCATGGCGGCCCCAACCATAGCTCATGGCGGCGCCAACTACAGAAGACGACCACATCGGGCCCCGCAAGAGGCCGGACTACTCTAATGACCTCGCCTGAGCAACCGCCGAGATAGACATCGGCCTGGATCGCGCGACTTCACGCCCCCAGTCGGGGACGGTGAGATGACCACTTGTCTGGTCGTCGGTCCCACCGGAGTACCGGGTCCTTGACTGCACAGTTGGCACAGTGGCTGGGCAACTGGTTGTTTGTAACAGTGTCGCAGGTTCGATTCATGCACGGAACAACACATTGTGAGCTCCACGAATTATAGATCCGAGTTTGGGTGGGTGGCTTGTGTATGTGAGTTTTGTATACTTGTAAACACACCAACGATACAAGAGAAAATAATTAATTGGGGCGACCTCTTTTAAACAAGCGCAATGACACACAGCGGCGCGATTCAGAGCAAGAGATGGTACGGTGTGGTTTCATGTCTGAAAGAGTCTAACACTCCCGTACTCTCCACATAAGTGTCATTAGCCTTTGGACCCCGAAACGTAGATCTAAGAAAGACACAATTTATTTTCTATTGTAGGTTAGTAGGTAGGTATCTCATATTTTGGCAGTTAAGAGGTTAAAGTTGACTAAGCCCTATTTCGGAAAGATGAGACAACCTAACAAACAAATTGAAAAACCTAATTTAAACTGGAATCGACTGTCTCTAGCACTGTAGGACACAGGGTCCAAGCGTGTAGATCGAAGCCATCATCTCTATAATATAATTACAAGAAAACCTATGTTCCGCAATGTACTCTAATGTGTAGGTACTCTATTCATATTTGTTACCAAGTTGAATCGGAATTGGCGTTAATCACCATGCTTGTTAAAGAATTGGCAATTTCTAACTTTTTTCCTTCCTAGTATCTTATGTTTCAGAAAAAGTTTTTAACTCGGATTTTATTTGTTTTGAACATTTTGTTTCTTTATAAAACTACTAGCGGTCGCCCGCGGCTCCGCCCGCGTTGAAATCGATTTACACTTTTTCAAGATTTTTTTAAAATTTTTTTTTCGTAAAAACCTACTCTGGACTTCCACGAATATTTCAAGCGAAATTGGTAAAGGCATTGTTGAGTTATAACATTAAAACGAATATTATTACATTTATTTTTATATATCTTCTAATAATCTATTTTACCCACTTCGGAAAAATAACAGCATAAATAACTCGATGCATAGGTATTATTGACAACTTTTTTGAGCACTTGTCAAACTAGTTCTAATATTATAAATATTTTACTAATAATATTGGATTAAGTCAATTACTTTTTGAGCTATATTACCTACTTACTAATAAATCGCTGTATTAATAAGAACGACCGTCCCGTCCCGGATATATATCATAAGATTTTTTTTATTTATTTATGTCAATGAAATGTGTTTCTCTTATATTACTCTCTCTCTCTCTCTCTCTATCCCTCTCAAAAGTCAGCACACATTCGTTTTATAATTTTTTTAACTACAAACACTCACAAGGTCTAAAATGTGTTTTTCCTTTTTATAAGATTAGTTCAAATAATAAACTTACCGGCAAATGCAGCCAAATACTGCATCCTGTGACTTTGTGACATTTTGATAAATTAAATTCAAATAATTTAAGGAGCATTTATCGAAAAGAATATACCATATTATTATTCATAACTTCACTATGAAACGTAGGTACACAAACATCCAATAAATAATTATTTGCTATCGTTTTAAACACATCGCATTAAAAGATGTTTTGTAGTTACATAATTTTAGAAAGAATTTCTTTCAAATAGTTTATAAAAAATTGCACATCAATTAACATACAAATCACAGCACTATTTCTCAAACGACGAACGAAAATATAAAATAAAATAATATATTCAATTTGACACGTCCGTTACATAGAAAAATATATGTATACTGTATCAGATGTGTATTGTATCGGCTTATCTAAGACACACAGTTCGCGATACTTTAAGGGCCTTCATGTGGGGCTTTAGTAAACTACTAAACCGATTTTAGTGAAACTTGGTAGGTATTTTTTTTTATTTTATTTATGTTATAGGTATCGATGCGAGCAGACAGATTACCTGATGGTAAGCAAACAGCGCCGCCCATGGACACCCGTAACACAGAGGAGTAACGAGTGCCTTGCCGACCTTTTATGGATTAGGGATTTGGGAGATTTAGAGATTGGGGAGGGATTTGGGGAGGGTAAGTATTGGGCCTCCGGTAACCTCCCTCACGCGGCGAAACACAACGCTGTGGTTGTTTCACGCCGGTTCTGTGAGGCCGTGGTATCACTCCGGTCGAGCCGACCCATTCGTGCCGAGGCATGGCTCTCCCACACTTTATAGATATGTTACATATTTTAGGTATGTATCAAATATAAATACTAATACGCTCTATATCAAATCCAAATAATTAGTTCAAGTATTTTGATACCTACTGTTATCTTTCAAGAGAACATCATAGTTATATCAGATTTGGAGTTTGTAAGTATAAATTGTTGTTTTTTTTTAAGTCAAGGTCAAATAATTAAGCTTAAATACACCACAACAGCCACTTTTAAAAGGGAATAACAAAAAATATATATCACAAGGTTTAACTTTAAGCGTGTCTGTCTATAGAGAATGAGCAAGGAACTCCACTTCCAGTCACTCTTTTTCAATCAATGTGACAATGCATCATTTAGTCGGTTCTATTATATGAGAACAGTGTAACACTAATGTTTAGCCAGAGAATCCGAAAAACAAATTAACCTCAAGGACAACATCTCGAGTTGACCAGTCCCAAAACCCAATAATTCGTATAATATTATGAATTTCGACTTGAGGTTTGTATGTAAACCCGAAATGCGTAAAATCTCTTGATTAAAAAGTTCGTTCTATATTATTTCAATAGTCTAGATGACCAGGAGGTTAAGGCGCCCGCTGCGTCTCAGGCATGGGGAAGCGGATTTGAAATGTGGCAAGTAGCAATGTATGTAATTTTTTCCGAGTTATTATATGGTTAATATGATTATTTAGAAAACGTGAGGAAACGTGAAACTTCTAATTATTTAAAATCGCTGATCCGCCTAGAGAAGGCATGATTTTTCTTTTTTTTAAAAAGCTTTGTCCCAAACTAGGATTTCCCCTTGTATAGATAAACTAGCTACTCTCTCGCGGTGTCACCCGCTACTCAGCTCCATTTAATCGTAGCGTGATGTGTTATAGCGTATAGCATTCAGGAACCTTGTAGCTATCTATCAGTGAATTTTGGCAATCCGGCCAGCGGTTCCAAAGATTACCCCCTACATACAAACTTACAAATTTTACCTCTTTATAATATTAGTATAGATGTACATGATTAATGCTCAAGCCTTTTCCGTGTGAGAAGATCGAGGCCTTTTCTCAGCAGTGGGCAGTGGGCTCTTGTAGGCTGATGATGGGATTTTTTTTTGTTTAAGTCGGCAAACGAGCATTCGTGTTACCAGATGGTCATAGACACGCATCTGGCGTGATTTATTTTCGGAAATATTACTCAAATTAAATTACTTAGTCTTAAATAAATTGCCTGATCAAAAAAACATCTCAGATTTTAAACATTTGATTAGCTGGATAAGACGAATTAGATGTTTAAATTCCTTACACTGTACTAAACAAAAATGGCGTCCAAGTAGTTAGTAAAATACAAGTACTTAATAGTAACGGTACCTTAGCAATGTGGGCTCAAAATAATTATCGGATAAACAAAAGTAGTTTTATTACACACGTGGTCTAACCACGTGGTTCAAGGTCATTGACACATGATTATCGGAGCAAATTTTTATGCAGGTCAACAATTCAAATTGTTGACCTGCATAAAAATTTACAATTTACATTTACAACCTAGATATTAAACGTTTTGTTATGGATATAAGTTTTTCTTTTTTTTCTTTCTTAATGTTACTTAAGATTGTAATTGTTTATTGTATAAGTACTAGCTTTTGCCGCGACTTTGTTCGCATAGAATAGTGACTTCCTGCAGATTTTTGGTATAAAAACTCGAGTTCCAAACTATGTCTGTACCAAATATCACACGAATGGGTTGAGTAGTTTAGGCGTGAAGAAAAGACAGACAGAGTTTCTTTCGCATTTATAATATTAGCTTGGATTTGGATTCGTAATGCTTCATAGAGTGCCAAATAAACATGTTTTCTGTCTTTCTTTCTAAATTCAAAAAAAAAATTCAATGAAAAAGATATCAGGTTATCGTAGGTTGACCTCGACCTCGCTATTGTAAGTACTTACATAAACTTTTTGTCTTTCATTGTATAGTATTACCAGTGCCGGCGTAAAATATTGTGGCGCCCACTTGAGGGAAGCAATATCAAGTGTTACATTTTTTATCTGATCCCATGTAAAATAACAAATTGCATAATTATGCACAGAGTGTAGAGCACAGTTCTGAGGGTGTTTGCACTAGGAGAGGCATGAGACTCCAACTTCAGACCTTGGCGCCCCCCAGAATTTGTCGCCCTGGGCCATCGCCCCATCACCGCCGGCACTGAGTATTACACTCCAAAGTATAGTATAAGGAGTATTCTCTTATATATTATTATTAATCTACACTATTTAGGTATACTTTATACTACTATTATAAATGCGAAAGTAATTTTGTCTGCATTTTCTTCGAGCCTAAACTACTCAACCCCTTTCTGTGAGATTTGGTACAGACATAGTTTGAAACTCGAAAACAAAATCTGCAGGAAGTCACTATTCCACGCAAACGGAGTCGCGGGCAAAAGCTCGTTAGTAATAATCTCGCAATGTTCCCGTATTAGAGAAGGGTAGTAAAGTAGTACAGAGACACATTACATAAATATTAAGGATTTTGTTTAAATATATTTTATTATTTAGTCTAATAGCTTGCTGCTTGCACTCACCGTTTCTATCTCTGCATCACCCAAAAGTCAAACTGGTAGAAATTGTTTTTTTTTTTTTGTGAGGTCAAAATCATCAAATGACTTCTCCCGCCCAGGGCCGAGCGGGAGGGAGTGTCCGACTCTTACTGACTAACCCTCCCCCCCCCTTTCCTTATCCAGCTCTTTTTTTGGTGAGGGGAAAATCATCAAATGACTTCTCCCGCCCAGGGCAGGGCGGGAGGGAGTGTCAGACTCTTACTAATCCCCTGTTCCTTCTCCTGCTCTGCAGGACCAAATTTGCTTTAGTACATGCTTAGCTTGCATTTGTGATAAGTGTATGAAGTTTCCATGATCTTGATCTCGAAAGTTAGTAGTTTATAATACGCTAGTTACCTATGTTTCCTGTGTAGGTATATTAGATGTGTGAAAACTGTGTTTAATATACATAGATAGGTATAGGTAGATATATTTGGGTACATACTACAAAAGAAGAAAACACAAAAAGTAGGCATCATTTTATATTTTATTTTATATATAAAACGCATTCGTTAAAATCTATCAAAAAAATCTAAATGCTTTGTCGAGTTTAAAAAATACTAACAACACGGTAAAAAATCATCTACCAAAAGCTTATAATGAAAACGAAGTAGGTAGTAGGTACCTAATTAAAAACGCAAACAAAGTTTTGCCAATGATTTGAAGGAAATATTTTCAGATATTTTAGAACATACTTAATAATATCTACTTATTAATTTATCAAAATTATTCAGCCAAATCAATAACTTACGGTATGCATTTAAAAAAAAAAGGTAAAAAAATAAAGATTAATTCGGTACCAGGAAGTCAAAACTTAGGCTGGCTGGCTATCCAGAGATTCACAATTTAGCTTTTGTTATAAAACTTGACTATAGTAATAGTTATAAAACTTGACTATGCGATGGAAATACATAACAAAAATATTTAATTCTTCAGTCAATTTTCATTTGTTGTATGCCTATAAAGGAAAATGTCATGATATTTGTGCCATCTATCGTCCGCTTTGAGAACCAACATACTTTACATTTGGCGCATTTAGTTCGAGACTTAGCCGTATCACTAGACGGCGCTACCATCGCTCTTATGGTGCGGCTTTGTCAAATAATTATCTGTATTATAAACCATAGCATCACAAAACTTTAGTGTAAAAAACCCAGTAGCATTAGAAAATAAAATAACATTAAAATATCGAAACTAAATAAGACTTATATTTGCATAAGTACCGATAGAAATATTTCAGCTTATATCTAAACTAACCGATTAAGGGTATTCCTTATTAAATACCTATAATAAAATAATAAGTAGTCAAATAATACTAAATAACTTTATCCTACAACGCCATCTAGGGAATACAAACTCTACTTACTTGAAAGAAAGTAAGTTTATTGTATGGATAAAGTATGACTTTGAGCCGTCGAAAAATTTCTAAATTGTGATCAATAAACAATTATATGTAAGTATACATAAATCAGACATTTTAATTTTATAGCACCATAGCGAAAACATTCTAAAATTCAAATTTTACAGCACCACAGCGAAGTACAACAGTAAACTGATCAATTAAAGCATTTTATTTTTATTTTTTGTATCAAATGCAATTTATATTATAGGTACCTGTAGTAGGTTAAATCTGGTTATATACATTTATATATATAATACAACCACACAAGGCATGTAACCTAGTATTTTTTTTATAAAAAGTTTGTGTAAATTGTGATATTTACGTAATCACATATATAAAAAAGTCTTAACGCTACAAACTATTACCTAGATACTAGTAAATACACTTGAGAACTTCCTAATTAGTTTTGTTAATTAACATATTTATAAAATTGAGATGTTCCCATTAATTACTTAACAGTACATATTACGTATTTGGAAAATATTTTGTTTCGTTATTTTCGTTATATTCTAGTTTGTTTGATTATTATCTGTTCAAAAAACTAGTTTAAGTGTTAGTATACAGAAGTCTTACAAAATCGGGCCCATAGTCCAGTCCTTCACATTTCGAGCTCTACCTATTAACTTTGGTATTAGTAAACTTTACTCGACAAACTACAGTCTGCACAGTTGTATGTATGCAAGTAAGAAAATAAAGATATAATATTTGTGACACTACCTATACTTACACTAAATCAATGTAGTATTTTACATAATAAATTAAAAAAAGGTGTTGAGACTAATCGAAAACGATACTGCGACCCCTAGTGGGTCCCCTCCACCCCTAGGGGTTGGTGACCAGCATTTTGAAAAATACTGGACTAAACTACTAATATTTGTGTTTTTGGATGAAGCCACATCTATACCTACTTAGGTTATAATTATGTGTAATTATGTATAAATTATGGGTAATCTTTGGAACTGCTGGTCGGATTTCAAAAAGTCCTGATCCAATGTTCCTGAGTGGCTACCTGCTATTCATTACTTTAATACACGTCCTAAGCCGCGGGCGCAAACTATAGTCTTTTATAACTAATGGTCGACTGTTTACTGAATCCATCTTTATTTTTATATGGATACCAAATAACTATGCACACTACAGTAGAAATAACTCGTAAAAAAAATGAAATCCAAATTAGAGATCTATTCTGTTCAGAATTTTCGATAACCTAAATCTATGACAGTCTTTGATATATATATATATATATATATATATATATATATATATATATATATATATATATATGTATCACTTTATTCTTCTTTATCAAATACAATCTTTGTTCTAGAAAAATCTTAGTGATGACGAAATTGAGAACTAAACTTAGGGCTGATTTTTCGATAGTCAGATAAATGTTATCTGAGGAATAAAATTGTTGCTGTCACTGTCTTATACAAACATTCTGACGCGACAGCATCATAATTATCCACTAGGTAACTTTTATCTAACCATTGAAAAATCAGCCCTTGGTAAAACAGAGACGCAGCTATTTCTGTCTCTTATTGATCTTTAAATTAATATAGTCGACTCTTCTCACTTCATTGAAGAAGGCTTTAGAAAGATTAAAAGAATAATGATTAGACTTTGAATTCGCCTGCTGTGCCATTTGCTGCAGGTCTCAACTGATATAGTTGCTGCTATGGACTCTACGGAGATTTAATAAATAATAAACAGCAATATTTGCTGGTATAAGCGTCACAGAGTATTTTCAACTTTTGAGTACCTTTAATTCAGTGGCTTCTTCACATTTGTCTTTTTCTATAACACTTTCCAACTTATCATTATCATTTTGAGGGACTGCGTTGTATTTGTCACCTTGCAATTCAGCTTGAATGTCTCCCAATTGTTTCCCTTTAGTTTCCACAACAAATATGTAACTGAACACGGCCCCACCAATCGCGAAGGCAGCAAAGATCCAAAAGACGGTAGTTAAACCAAATAAATCTTTAACCCTCTGATACCCAAGGCCCAAACTGAATCCTAAAGCCGAAGAAAAGAGATTTAGACAGGTAAAAGCAATAGCTTTGATATTAATAGGAAATATTTCTGCAGGTATTACGAAGATGAGGGAATCGAAACCAATGGTAGAGATGACGTTGGCTAGGATGATACCCAGGAGTGGTATGAAGCTGACCGAGGCTAAACTGGCTGTAGTGACCTCGAGGACTTCTTGCATGAAGAAGTAAAGGCCGACGGCTCCCAGGGAAATTCCTGTGCCAATGTAGGAGAAGATAAGCAGTGGCCGGCGACCCACTCGGTCCACTAGCACTGTAGACACCATGCCTGAAAAACGAAAGAAATGCAAAAGTGTTAAATACGATATGGCCAACAATATCAATGAGAAAAATCAAACTTGAAAAACATGAGAAATATTGTCAAAACCAGCTGCTTGGCTCTTACAGGTCGTAGCGGGATATTTCGTAGCCCTTAGCCTTCCGTGGTGACCTACGGTAGCGGAGGATTTGCCTTCAATAGTTTTCGATCGGCAGTCAAAGGCTTAATAAATGAATCGGACACAAAAACAATTATTCAAATCCAATATTAGTTATTAGATATTATTTTTAGGGACGAAGTTATTAGTTTTAGGGACGAAGCTGTGCTGTCTAGGCTACCTAACAACACAGTGATAGATTTAAACTAGATTTTAAGACAACAGAACATACCATCATATATAATGTTAGTAGTAAGGTATATTCTGGCAAAAAAAAAACTCATATCTAATGTTGTTACACAGGCTCAGGGGCAGCACAATTTAATCTTATTTTATATTAATATTCAGGGCTGCTCCTCTAAAATATTTGAAATAGAAATGTTTCTTGAGAAAACACAATTTGATATAGTTTGTTTAGCAGAACATTGGTTGAAAGAGGACCAATTAATATCTTTCAATTTTGAAAATTATACTGTAATAAGTAATTTTAGTAGAAAGAATATGTTACACGGCGGGTCCTTAATTTTAGTTAAAAATGGCATTAAGTCCAAAGAAAGGAAAGATATTGTAGCACTGTCAGTTGAACACACTATTGAGTTGTCCTGTGTTGAGCTGGATAGACATGTTGTTGTTTGTGTATATAGACCACCTAATTATCAGAATCTTGCATTGTTTGATTCTGTAATGGAAGATGTTTTGAGAAAAGTATGTTCTAGCCATAAATCAGTACTTGTATGTGGCGATTTTAATATTAATTTATTGGAGAACAATACAAGTGGCATGGAGCTATTAAATTTGTTTGAATCATTTAATTTAAAAAATGTTTTTCTAGAACCAACTAGGATAACACCCTCCACAGCCACATGTATTGATAACATTTTTAGTAACTGCAACTATTTAGAAAAAAAAGTTATAAACAGTTTACCTTCTGACCACAGTGGTCTTGTGGTTACTTACAGCTCTTATTTGCCTCTTCAAAAAATTCAAATAAAGTTTAGACATATAACAAATAAAAATTTAGAGAAACTTAATGATTCATTAGCATCTAAATTAAGTATAGAAAATTTTGATGTAAGTAATCCAAGCAGGTTATACGAAAAATTTTTTACGGTGTTAAATAGGGAATTTCAAGATATTTTGCCAATGAAATATAAAGACGTCTATGCTAAATTTCAGTTTAGCGATTGGGCTACCGCAGGTATTCGTAAGAGTAGAGATAAACTTTTTGAACTTTATGGCATGAAACCATACAATTGCGACCCTCTTTTTCATCAACATGTAAAATTGTACTCAAAGACATTTAGAATAGTATGCAAAACCGCAAAGCGTCTTTTCATCAGTAATAAAATAAAATCAGCTGAAGATAAGATAAAGGCTACGTGGAAAATAATACAGAATGAGACAGGTAGGAATAAATTAAAACATTCGGCTTTTTGTTTAAACACAGAGAGGGGACAGATTTCGTCAAGCACAGATGTAGCTCAGGAGTTTGAGACTGTTTTTGCTAATATACCTGTCAAAACAACGGCTCATTTAAAATCATCAGCCAGACTATCGGCAACTTTGCTTAGAGAAAATGTTAAATCATGCGAATGCGACTTTAGTTTTCATTATACTAGTCCTTTAGAGATAATAAAGGTTTTTAAAGAAATCAAGGTCAAATCAACTGAGGACCTTTGGGGACTATCCGTGAAAGTCTGCGGATCACTTATCCGAACTTTAGCGCCGTATCTGGTTTTGATTTTCAATAAAAGTATAGATGACGGTGTCTTCCCAAACCTAATGAAATACAGTAAAGTTATTCCATTATTCAAAAATGGTGACACTAAGGAACCAAACAACTATAGGCCTGTGTCTGTTCTGCCGGTTCTTAGCAAAGTGTTCGAAAAGTTAATGCTATCTCGGATGCTTCATCACTTTGATAAACATGCCATCTTCCATCACCAACAATACGGTTTCACTAAAGGTCGTTGTACAACTGACGCCGGTGTCACGTTGATAAAGGAAGTACTCGGTGCTTGGGAGGAAGCACAGGATGCTGTTGGTGTCTTTTGCGACCTCTCAAAAGCGTTCGATTGCGTTGATCATGAAACACTCTTGCTGAAATTAGATCATTACGGGATTAGACATACTGCACTCCGTCTACTAAAATCATATTTAGAGGATAGGCAGCTGAGAGTTCATGTAGGTGGTTATAACTCACAGGGCTCTGAGATAAGAATGGGCGTTCCACAGGGTTCAATATTGGGTCCGTTTCTCTTTTTAGTGTATGTTAATGACTTGCCATTTTTATTTAAAGCTGAGCCAAGTATGGTGCTGTTTGCTGATGATACATCATTAATTTTTAAAATAGGTCGACGTTCTAATAATTTTGACGAAGTAAACAGCTCCATTCATCAAGTTCATAATTGGTTTACAGTCAATAATTTAGCACTTAACGAGAAAAAAACAAAATGTATTAAATTTAGCTTGCCCAACGTACACAGTAATGATTGTAGCATAATTTTAAATGGGCAAAAGTTAGAATTTGTCAACGAGACAGTGTTTCTAGGTATCACACTAGACAATAGACTTCAATGGGGTTCCCACATAAAGACGCTTTCGGGGAGACTAAGCTCTGCTGTTTTTGCAGTTAGACAGATAAGACAGCTCACAGACGTGAACACAGCAAGGCTTGCTAGCTATTTTCACAGCATTATGTCATACGGAATTTTGCTGTGGGGTCGAGCTGCGGAAGTAGAATCAATATTTATTCTACAAAAGCGGGCTATCCGAGCGATATATAACTTGCCCCGTCGCGAATCTCTGAGAGAACTATTTAAAACGATAAATATCCTGACGGTGCCTTGTCAGTTTATATATGAAAATATTATGTATGTAAGGAAAAATTTGCAATTATTTGAAAAAAGAAGCGATAGACATAATTTTAATATAAGAGGCAAAGATAGGCTGGCTGTGCCACGATTCCGTCTGTCCAAGGTACAGAAATCCTTTATGGGGTTCTGTGTAAATTGTTACAATAAAATTCCAAGTACTGTATTGAATCTTAACGAACGAAAATTTAAAACTTAAAACGTGAATTGTGTAGACAGGCATACTACAAACTTTCAGATTATATTGAGGATAAGAATGCCTGGCAGCGTTTTGATTCGGCTCCACTGGACAATACTCAAATATAGTCAGCAGTTGGGTAAAATTCTCAAAAATAATGCATCCTTAATTTATATATCCAAAAAGTTTATATAGAAACACTCTTAAAGATTGTGAGTACGCATATGTGAGCGCCATGTTCGAGACGACAAAGGAGTAAAATTTTATGATAGGTCCCCTCATTTGTTCTTTTTTTTAACAACTTGTCTCTGCATTGTTCTCACATAAGGGTACACTAATGTATAGTATAAATGTTATATTATTGAAATTGTAAAACAATTTTTTTTTAAAAAAGAGTAACGAATGGAGTTTCTTGCTCGTTCGTTCTTCTCCATTCGAATCTACAATTTGGAATGAGCACCTAGCTTCACTGACGAACAGACTGACAGACTACTTTTCTATTTTGACGTTTCAAAAGTACCTATTGATGGTTTAGTTGGAATAAATGATTTTGACTTTGACTTTGACTTTGAATAAGTAGTAGTTCCAACATACAAACTGTACAGCTTTATAATTTTATAATATAAGCATAAGTAGATAATAAAGATCAAGATTTTGTTTGCTTTTTTGAACAGTCCAATCTGTGAAAATATTGGTGCAAATTAAAAAAAACATTTTAGTGTTAGGCAATCGATTTAGTGAAGGGTTTGGGTGTAAAAAAGTAAAATATCGCGCAACGATCAATAGACACCAGTGCGGGCGTCTTGAAGCGCAGAGATACTAACCAACGCCAAAAGAGACTACGCCATAGACAATAAGAGCGAGCGATGTCTTCATGCCCGTCTTGGTCTCTTCAATGATCCATCCCAAATACTGCCGTGTAACAACTGCGCCAGTCATCATTTGTGTCAATTTTAAACCTTAAAATATACACAATACATTATAAATAAATAGGTACTACATCAAAAATATTTGGGTTCACAAACATTATAACTTTAAACTTTTAATTTCTATCCAATAACTTACAAAGAAATAATAAAACGTTAAAGTAGGAATAACTGTCAAGTTGGAGAAAATGGCCGCCATTATCGATCGATTTTTTTTATCTGAGATGGCGGCAAAAGAGCCTACAGCCCAAGAAAAATCCCGCAACACGAAAAAAGTTACGACTGTGTTGCTGGCGTTTTGGGGATATGAGTTTTGGAGATTTATGGATTGAAAAAGGATGGGGGACCCGGGACAGGCATAATTGAGTCTTTTTAATCATGCGGCGAAACACAACGTTGTGGTTGTTTTACACCGATTTTCTGTGAGGCCGTGGTATCACTCCATTCAGGCTGAAGCTTGGTTCTCCCACGAATAGCTATAAGAACTCACCTACAGCTATAATAATAGCCCTTCTGTACTGTCTTCCGGTAAACAACTCCTTCACAGAACTGGAGTGCCTCATCTCATGTCTTACATGAGCTTGTAATGCCAGCAGTTCGTCTTCTAGAACCTGGAACGAATATTTCACATCATCTATGACGAAAGCCATCCATAACCATGCTTAGAAGGTTACTGGACGCCCACTCTGGACCCTCCCCCGATTCTTCCACAATCCATGAACTACAAAATCACTATCCCCCAAAAGGTTGGCAACGCACTCGTAACTCCTGCGTTGTTGTTGTTGGGTGTTGTTATATCGGAATAATTATTCTTTAAAATATAAATTAAAAATGCTGAGTTAACAATTGCATTGACGTCAATGCAATAGGAAACCGTCTTTATTTATTCCGTGTTAATTTTCCATTAGTATTGGATTGGACTTCCGTCGGACATTATACCAATTTTGTAATTTGTTTATCAATTTAATAGATAATGTTCTTTAAGCAAATTAAATAGTTTTTTTTTAAGTCATCATCGACCCGCTCCGTAACTGTGTCCACGGGTGGCGCTGATTGCTTACCATCAGGTGCTCCGTATGCGCGTATAAAAAAAAATGTAAAGCGGGAATTACTTATAAATTATAATAATATGCATTGTTTTATCTAAGTTAAATAACATAAATTCCGTTATAAAAGAGAGAACAAAAGTTACGACTAGTTCGGAATGTTATCTAAATCCTACTAGGCTATATTTTTTTTTTTTTTTGGTGTCGGGTTGGAAAATCCTCATGGAGACCCATCACCCTCGGGGAAGGGCGAAGGGTACTGTCAGACTCTTACTGACTAAAAACCAACCCGGTGTTCCTCCAATAACCCATGTGTCGGAGGGGCGGGTATCGCCGAAACATTCGTCGCAACCCCCCGACGGGTGTTGGCCCGCCAGATGGTAAGGCGGGCGCCGTCACCCACTGCGGCCGTCACCCCGACCGCAGGACTCCACTATGAGGCGCGCGCGGAACACGGCGCCGCCGCCTCGAGGCCTGCTGCTGGTTAGACGACAAGACGCCCCGAGTCTGTCGTCCACAGGCCGCACCCTACGACGTCTAGTGCGTCTGCTGCGGGAGGGGAGAGAGAAGGCAGCCTCTCTCTCCCTTTCCGCCGCCTCCTTTGCGAGCATCACGGCCTCGCAGAAGGTAGCGACGGTACTCCACCCTGACTCGCTCCCGACCATAGTAGACACTACAGCCGGAAACGAGAGATTTCCCGCAGCACCTACGGCCGCGACCAGGTCACGACGCTGCTCGGCCCAAGCTGGGCACTCCGCCAAGGTATGCAGCGCCGTATCGTCGCGGCAATCACCACAATGATGGCACTGAGACGTCGGCTCCCGACCTATGCGACACAGGTACTTCCCGAAACACCCGTGTCCGGTAAGCACCTGCGTCAGCCGGAAGCTGAGGGCGCCGTGGCTCCTATTGAGCCATTCCTCTAGAACGGGCCTTACCGCCTCTATAGCGGCGTGCCCCGCCGTGGGTTGCGCTAAGCGCGTCTGCCACTCCGCCATTAAGGTCTGGCGGAGTTCTGCCCTGCGTGCCTCAACCTGTCGAGGCACAGGGCGCTCGCCCAGCTCGACTGCCTCCGCGCGCCACCAATAGAGCGACGCGAGGAGTTTTGCGTCGAGGTCCCAGAGCGGGGATCCGGCTAGGAGGCTCGCTGCCTCAAAGGAGATCGTACGGTATCCCCTGATTATCCTGACAGCCATCGCGCGTTGTGGCCTTCGCAGCACTATGCTATATGTATTGTATACTAATATGTACCCATAGCATGATTGTATGTATATATATTTGTTACTCTTTCACATACAAACATATCTACACATGTATGTATATCCTACATCCAAACTAATATAATTAACGCGAAATTAACTCTGTCTGTCTGTCTTTTCTTCACCGAACCGATTCGACAAGTTTTTTACAATTTAACTAGTTGTAAACTGACACCTGCGGTCTTTTCTTCAGAACGGGCCCACTTAAACTGGTGTGGTTCTTTCCTCAAAAGACCACTACGAAATGAACTTGCACAGCTTTCGCACATTATATTATTTTTCACATTCTCTGGACTTGAAAAGAGACGAACCTCTGTGATTGTTTCGGCATTTTTTTTAGAGTAGTCACAAGAGAGTAGGAAATGCCGGCTTCATCTAGTATTTTACATATACAAATACTATTTAAAAAAATTTTTTACATAAGCTACTTTTTATACCAGTAAATAAGTAAGTACTTAATATAATTACCTTCTCATCTTTATATCTTCTTAAAATTCTCAGCGATGATCGAGCACCTTCCAGATTGTTATTTTTCAACAGAAAATAGGGCGTCTCTGGGATCCAGTAGCACGCGGTACTAAATAGAAAGGGAATGACCAACATGACGAGGTTTATGGCATCATAAGAGAGGAAGGGACCCACTGTCATGGTCATAAGGGTCCCAAACTTGAACATGAACCTCGTAATGCCTGCTAGTGTACCCCTTACATCCTTGTCAGCAATTTCTGATAGATAGTAATTGCTTACCTGGAAAAAACAGATTCAATTAAGCATCGATACAATATCATTTTTCTTTCATAAAAACCTTCTCCTAACAAAAAAAGAAGAACATATCAAAAAAAGAATTGGCAAAATTGGTCCAGGCGTTATTAAGTTATGCGCTAAACAACACATGTCGCGATTCGTTTATATTTATACCTATATGGATAGAGCACTGGTTATTTTGAACGTCAAAAATTTACGGACTTTTTAGGGTACAGAGATAGTGCCTCGAAATTGTTCGGGCATCCCCGAAACACGAAGGTAGCTATTCAAACATTGCTTAATATTGTTTATATCGCGATAATTATGTAGATACTTACTGTGCTGACCATTCCCGTCCCGCAGCTCCAAGAGAATGATGTTATGCACAACAACCATGCTTTCAGCGCGAACACGGCAATTATCTAAAAGTAACGATAAATTAAAATACATAACACTATCCAAGCATAGTCATCACCATCTGTCGCAACCAAATAGTTGATTTAGCCATTCAACCAACCGCCTGTATGACTAGTCGTTGGATAGGATGGCTATATTTCTCATTCAGGCTGTAAGTTAACGAAGATGGCCCTATAGTTGTAAGGTTGTAAGATAAGCGCAATGAGGCACCGCGGCCTCGGCCTAAAGCAGAAGTAACAGAGGAGATTTTAGTCAGTAAGGTTCTGAAACTCTCTCTCGCCTCAACCTGGGCGGAAGAAGTCATTTGATTTTCCCCTGACACAAAAAAACAAAAAGGAAGCTGTATGTTGAAGGGTGAAGATTGTCATGAAAACCGAGTTGCTACCAGAATGGTTAGGTTAGGTTAGAACTGTGGACTACACAAAAATCGAATCGCCATCGCAAATAAACAGCTACTCAAATTTTACTGCGATCAAAGAGCTGGCTGATTGATTGAACTGCTTTTTTAACCAATTGGGACAATTGCGACATATCTATTAAGTATATGTATGTACATGCTTCTAATATTATAAACGTGAAAGTGTGCAAGTATGAATGCACATACATTTTCTATCTGACTACTCTGAAAACAAATGCCGAAACGAAAGTCGAGACAAATGTAAAAATAATGTGGGGAAACCATACAAGTTCATTCTGTAATGGTCTTTTGACAAATGAGTGACTAAAATAGAACTATTTTTATGAAAGTACGTGAGTTCAAATTATATACTTCTTTGGGAAGATTTTCTCTGTAATAATTTGCACCAAAATAGGAGACTGAATGTCTCCTGCATACAATTTACAAACTTAAACAATTTAACTTAAACCTTAAAGACTAAAAAGAGACTGCACAACTGAGACCTATCTGTGAGCTGCTATAATTGTTTCTAGTATGACAAAAACGCCTGAACGCACGGGAATTTGCTCTACATTCCACCACCAACGAAAGACAATCGCAAAAAACCTTACGTACAACTTAGCTTAACCAATAGAGAAAAATGTTCATGAAATGACTTACCGAGCCTAGTGCAATAGGTATAGCACTTCCCAGGATAGTAGCTCGCCTCCCGAACCTATCTGCCAGGTACCCAGTGGCCATGGCACCTACTGCAAACCCCACAGGGTTTACAGCCAGCATCGTTGATATTTCATACTGAAAGAATAACAGATTTTGGCTTTCATAAATGCGTGGAGCTTCCTTACTAGGTTAACTGTCTTAGAAAGAATCCTACAAAGGTATTATAACCACGAATAGTTTTAAGTATGGTTAATTTAATGTCGTTTCTTCCTTTTATAAGCTCTGCTGGTTTCAAGTCACAACGGGACTCTTACTCATGAGCAGCGTGCGCGTCGCTAAAACGTCACGCAGCGTACTCACGATAGTTAGGTACTATTCAAAAATCATGACTCTTCCACGCAAATAAATGATTTTTGATAAAAATTTCAAAGAAAGATTCATGTGAAATAACACATAGGCTACTTTTGTACCTATACGCGAAATGCAGGCAATGCTGCTGGTAGAAGCTAGTATCATAAAACATTGCATTCTTAACCTACCGACCTACCTAACCGAAAAATTAAATACAAGAGTTTCCTTCGTGGAATTAATGTTATTGTCTTAAACTTGGCTCATTACCAACAAAATCATCGAATCGCAGTCGGATTCCAAAGAACGTCATATTAAACGTAAAGTAAGCCATCTGTTCTCTTCAAACCATTTCTGACTGATTAATAATGTATAACCACAGCAGCCCGTAAGAACAGGACTAGCCAACTGCAGCAAAAATATTTATACAGAAGCATACACGTCTCAGTTCAAAGCCAATTAACATTCCCGTACTACTCCAAATACGTTAGGAAAATAAATAAAACCGAGATGATTTACATGGTTGCCGAAACACGGGATTTGAATCGCTGAAATTAAGTGTGCTATAGGTACTGCATTTTGGACACTACTAGCGGCCTGTGCCGGCTTTGCACGGGTGCCTCGCTGATACTTAATTACTCCTCTACTTATTAGATGGTACAAATACACATGTCATAATTTGCATAACGTTTATTAATCTATATTTTCCTGCTCTATATGTATGAACCTATAATGGCAAGCAATCAATCAATTATGAAACCAGCTTTTACTATATTTCTTAGAAAAAAACGTTCTATTACTCTTCTCGCTAATCGATTGAAGGTAATGAAAGTCCAACTAGCCGTTGTAGCTAAGATAAAACAGGCTACTTTCCTGAGTCAAAAAATCAATAATTTTCACTTTTCAATGCAATAATTTATTTTCATATTTCAGTATTATTTTCACGATTAACTTTACCTACATGATTTGTAGCCTATTTCATAAACAGGTAAATATGCCATTTGACGTTAAATTGTTGCAATTTTATGCAAATTCGTTGTTGACCTCTCGTATCCTTGGTTGAGGCTATGGTGTGGTGCAAGAGGAACTAGATAACCGTCTCTTCTTTTTGCGAAGAAAGCAAGAAGGAAGCGCGTGGTGGAACTATTCTCCAGGGTTCTAGGTCAAGCACAATAAAGTACTGGCGGAATGAGCCAAAATGAGGCGGCAAAATCATCCAAACACTTACCCTGCACTGAGTGGAGCAAATTTAAGAGTATCAGATTGTTAGAAACTATAAACACCGCGTTCCTTTTCCTACTTCAGGTAACGTCACGGCTGAGGGAACTATTCTCCTCGCGCCCCAGCCGCCGCGAGAGACAATTTCCGGCCACCGTAAGCGCGGCGAGTAAGGATTGCTCGCCGCCCGAATAGGTCCAGACCCGAGCGAACGGCGCGTAGCGTTCCGCGCGTGCCTCAAAGGGCCTATAGACCACCACAGACGGGGCCCTATAGGGCTGATGTTCAGCCGGGGTTGCGGGTTAAGCGCAATGAGTCACCGCGGCCTCGGCCCAGAGCAGGAGAAGGAACGGGGGGTTTTTCGGGGGGGTGGGGGTCAGTAAGAGTCTGACACTCTCTCTCGCCTTCAGTTTGCCGCATACACATGTTTTTTTCATGTGATAGACAAACGTGATCGGCAAACGTGTTGACGGATTACCTGATTGTAAGCTATCAGCGCCGCCCATGGACACCCGCAACAACAGAGGATTTATGAGTTCGTTGTCGACCTTTTGGGGGTTTAGGGATGGGAGATTCTTATTATTATTCTTTATTCTTTCTGTTTCTTTTTATTATTCTTACCTGATTAATGTCTACTTTGGTCTCGTTATTCTTGAACTTCGGTAGCACTGGTGTTGGCCAACCTGAAGACATGCCCAGCGTCATCAATGCCATGGACACTGCAAACATAATATTGTATATCAATAAGTTCTTATATCCTGTAAGTAAGATAAAAAATGTCTTTGAGTTTCAAACAGGTTTTTTTTCCAAGATATTTATCAGCTTAGTCTAATAATTATTGACGAACAGATAAGCAGAACATAAAGTCAGAGCATAAAATCCTGTTTATCTTTAAAAGTCAGGTAAGAATTATGAGAAGTAACCGGTAAAAAGACCAAAATGTCAGCCAAAATAGAACATACTCTTTTTTTCTACTCGGGCTGCTTTATCCAATCAATTTGTCGTGAATTTTCGGAGTGTTTCGAATCTTGTATGCCAACTTGTGTAAAAACTTAACCTTATTTACAAATATGTATTGAGCAGTATGTAATTAAATGAATAGAAAAATAGATAACTAAAACGTTTCCTGGAGACTCTTATACACAAAAATCGTGTTCGTTTTAAATAAATAATATCCCTAACAATGTCCCTAAAACTAATATATCCCTAAATGTAATATGTCAGCAAACGAGCAAACGGATTACCTGATGGTAGGCAATCAGCGCCGCCCGTGGACGTGGTGCATAGCCGACATTTAGAGATTAGGGATTTGGAGATTTAGGGATTGAGGAGGGATTGGGAGAGGGGAAGGATTGGGCCTCCGGTAACCTCACTCACACGGCGAAACATAATGCTGTGGTTGTTTCACGCTGGTTTTCTGTGAGACCGTGGTATCACTCCGGTCGAGCCGACCCATTCGTGCCGAAGCTTGGTTGTTTTTTTTATGTAAACGATCGGCAAACGAGCAGACGGATTACCTGATGGTAAGCAATCAGCGCCGCCCATGGATACTCGCCACGAAGGAGTTACGAGTGCGTTGCCGACCTTTAGAGATTAGGGATTTGGAGATTTAGGGATTGAGGAGGGATTGGGGGAGGGGAAGGATTGGGCCTCCGGTAACCTCACTCACACGGCGAAACACAACGCTGTTGGTTGGTTGGTTGTTTCACGCCGGTCTTCTGTGAGGCCGTGGTATCACTCCGGTCGAGCCGACCCATTCGTGCCGAAGCATGGCTCGCCCACACTTAAAACTGCTACTGCTACGGCTGTCCTACACTTATTACTTTGTACTTCAAATTTTTACTCTTTGGTCTTAAACAATTTTCTCCTCAAGTCAAAACAAGTTTTTCTTTTGTCTTGGTCTTGATTTAAAGTCTAATTAACTACATATAGCGAAAACAAGTTTCATGACGGTTCTGATCTTCAACAATTGTTCTCGAACCAAAATCTTTATTAAGAAAACGTAAAGGCGTTCAACGTGTTTAGTAATTACTGCGCGACTTCGTTCCCGGAACATTAGTTGCCTACTAATAAGACCGGTCAAAATCGGTGCAGCCATTGCAAAGATTAGCCGCAAAAAAGACAGACAAAGCCTATGTGTGTGTATGTGCCATACTTATACATCCAAACTAATATTATGAATGCGAAAGTAACTCTGTCGGTCTGTCTGTCTGTCTTTTCTTTCTGTCTGTCTGATTTTTGTGATATTTGGTACAGACATAGTATAGAACTCGATAAAGAACATAGGTAGGATAGTTTTTATACCAAAAATCTGCAGGAAGTCACTATTCCACGCGAACCGAGTCACAGGCAAAAGCTAGTAGATATATTCATGTAGTGAAAATCGATATTTTTCTCACAAACAGACCATTAAATTTTTATTTAGTTATACTATATAGATTGCATGAAGTTTGTGTAATGATTAATGTATGTCAATGAATCAATCCGGAGACTTTGAATTAAGAATGACGATTAATTTTGGCCGTTATTGTTAAATATAACTTAAAAAGAATGTAAGTAAAACGTAGTAATTACATAGTTTTATGTTCTTAAAGCAGGCACTGATCGTAGTCGTAGGAGATGCAAGTTTTGGAAAAACAATTAATCCCAAAACTTTTGATCGAATAGGAATTGATTCTTGTACATTTTTAGAATAAAAATGTCATATGTGTATATTTATAAAAAAAAATCCCAACATTACAGAACAACGTGCTAAGTGCACGTTTATACAATTACATACCTGAAAGTGTCACCAAATAAAGGTTTTTCCGATTTCCGTTCTCCATTCTCTCCATCTGCGTAAATTAAAAAAACATTCAATTTACTGAATTAATTTATTTTGCGATTTAAAATATATTTCAGTTGATATAATTGATAACGGCCACTGTAAGTATGCCTTGAGTCTGCGGATCTGCCGCGCCCACGTCGCCTGTCCAGAATCAGACCCGAGCACAGGGCCTTATAGAAGCATATTGACCAGCACGGTTGGGACATAAAAGAACTGATGTTCAGCGTGATAATGTACTGCGGCCTCGGCCAAGGATAGGAACTGGATAGTTTTTAGTCAGCAAGAACTTGACACTCCCTCTCGAAAAAGGGTGAGGACCATTTTTTCGGGGAAAGTAATCAAATTACTTCTCCCGCGTTTCCTCTCGCTGGATCCAGAACAGGAACCTACCGAAACTGCCGTGCCCGGTAGGCATCTGCGTCACGCAAAAGTCTCCACCTTTTCCAGCCATGGCGAAGTCTCTCAAGAAACTTCTCAAAGACGCGTATTACCGCCCTCGCCTCACCCTGGGCGAGAGAAGTAATTGATGACTTTTCCACACTCAAAAAAAGGTCATAAAAGTGCTTACGAATTAGTGGCTTTTTACAGACATTGCAACATTTTTTACTGAAGTAGGTAATGACTTTATGATGATTGGATTACACTTTACCCTTGCTGTGGGTATCAGAACTATACATGTATAGCAAGAGACCATTTTTGAGAGATCAAGTACGGGCTTCGCACAGACATTTTGTTTTGATCTGCAGTCTTATTAAGTCTGCCATTCACACAAATAACGCGCAGCAGAAATAAATAGGATTTTCTCCTTACATTAAAGAACTGCATTACACTACACGTATGAATTAACAAATAATAAGGATTACAAATATTTTTCGTTCTTACAGTGATAATAGGGAAAATTTACCAGTATTTAATTTTATTCCGAGCAACAAGAATCATGACAACAAAAAATAAAACTAACGGAGGATAGGCGCAGTTCGCTAATTCCACTAGTTAAATTTAATAACTAATTTTTAAGTAGTGTGTAGATAATAACAACTTTAGATTTTAATATCAAAAAGATGAGGTCGCTCGATAACACAAGGACTTGTGTTATAATGGAATGGAACGCGGAACTCTTTTTCGATAAAAATATAATTTTAGGTACCTTTAGGGTCAGTGGGTAATCTTAGGGGCAGGTTAGCATACTTACATAGGAATACAGGCAGAGAAAGCGACTTTGTTTTATACTATGTTTATGTTAATAAATAAATAAATACCTATTTATACAGTTCATATTTCTGTTATAAAAATATAGCAACACAAATCTGAACTCATGACGAGAAAGATCTCGCAATGTAAAGAGCTGGAACGCCGCGCCGGCGCGGTTGACGTTTAGCATTTGCATTTATATGTCTACCATTTGCCTCGCAAACTTGAACTCTATGATATAATCTGTATTAAAATTTAATCAACACCTAAAACAGATATTGAATAATGGTAGTAATAATGAAACCGCAATCCTACCGCTACCGCAAACCTACACCGGTGATCAATAAATACGAGGCATATGTCAAATTCCGCTTTTAGTGTCGGCCCAATTTTGAGGTTATGTTTTGACTAGGTACAATAACATCAACGAATAGATAAGCGTTTCCCGTTATTAATTAATATTGTTTACTATCTATAAATATATCAAATATGCAGAACTTACAGAGGTTAAATCATAAGTAGGTGTATTTTGTAGTGATTTATCGTTTTTGTATTGAGTAAATTAATTGAGTCTAAACAATTAGGTATAAATAATCTTTTAGGTACTTGTTCCCTATGTTGTGGTAAACCCCAATTGTGTTGTGGTAAACTCAAAGCTTTATCGCTCTAAATGTTAAAACAAACAAATAATAAATAGTTACCTACTCACTTTTTATCAATAGAGTACTTACGATGTCAAACTAAGCTCATAATTTTCTTACACAAAAATTGCACACACGACCACACGCGATATCTATTAAAACTTCTTTATGCAATATGTTTTTTGCGAGACTAGAATGTTGATACACGACTGAGCACGATGCCCGTCTGTTTGTTACTGAAACCAAATTGAATTTTCAATGCCACAAGACCAGACTGATTTTAAAGAAGCAGACGGGTAACACATTCACTTTACAAACATTTGCAATTGCTCCGTTCAGACATCGCGTCTCAGGCAATTAATGTACAATAACAGAATATCTTGGAGTTTTTTAATTCGTAATTTAATGTACCTAAGTAAACAAACGCCGAATTCCTACATACAAGTATCTAACTAATAATTCTGTTTTCGTTCATCCGCAAATCTTCGTCCAAAACCGAAGCTATTCTACACTTAAAATTGAAGTAAATAAAGCTGCAATTTATTGTCTTTTAATATTAAGTAGGTACTTATAGGTACGTCATCAACCGGCGTTAACAAACGTCTACTGCTGAACAATTAGGTCCTCTATTATAGCTACATAGTATAAAACAAAGTCGTTTCCTCTGTCTCTGTATTCCTATGTATGCTTAAATTTTAAAACTACGCAACGGATTTTGATACGGTTTTTTTATAGAGATTGGTTGAAGAGAAAGGTTTAGATGTAGTTATTTTACATATAAACCATAACATAGTCATAATTAATATTTACTATAGGTAAAATTTGTAAGTTTGTATGTTTGTAAGTTTCTATGTAACGGGTAATCTTTAGAACCGCTGGTCGGATTTCCAAAATTCTTTCACTGATGAGATAGCTACAATATTCCTGAGTGCTGTAGGTTATAAAATATCACGCTACGATAAAAATGGAGCTGAGCAGCGGGTGAAACCGAGCGAGAGTATATTCCATAAAATAGTGGAGATATTTGTTATCAGCATAGCACCCGTGCGAAACGTGTTTTTATAAATATACCACGAAATTAAAATCAGTGAAAATGGACAATTCCAAGTAGAAATGAAACATTAAATAAACAGTTCGACGGTAAAAGATATAGTGTTTGGAAATTAAGAATTCGTAATCTACTTATTATAGTGAACTTAATGTACTTCATGTGATAGATGGAGAATTGCCTAACGAACCTAATACCGAGTGGACTAAAAGTTTTTTTTTTATGGAATAGGAGTGAAACGAGCTAACGGATCACCTGATGGTAAGCGATTGGCGCCGCCCTTGGACACCTGCAACACCAGAGGAGTCACAAGTGCGTTGCCAGTCTTTTAAGAAGGAATGCGTTAGTTTCTTGAAGGTTTGAAGGCCGTATCGTAAGTTTAAAAATTGCGATAATTTTTTTAGTAGAATATTTCAGACACTTTACTCGCTTTAGTCACTGAACAATCTTCAGCTAAAGACATTTTCAATAGATTAGATTTGATATTATGAGCGAAAAATTACATCTAATCAATTAACTTTGAGAATACAACTCAATATAAAGTTCAAAGAAGACCCATTAGTAAATTTAACACGAGTGACTGCAAAAAAACATGTCAGTACTCCACTTGGAACTAAAGTTGATTTCGAAGCTTTAAATTCGTGTGAAACAATGAATGCCCCTTGTAAAAACCTTATCGGATGTTTAATTTTTTACATTAGGGTTTGCACTCGACCCGATTTGAGTTATAGTCTAAACGTCTTGCGTAGATTTGCTATCAAAAACAACTATGCACTTTGGTCACACTTAAAAAGAGCGCTACGTTATTTAAAGGGGACGCTAGATTAAAAATTGAATTATCGTCGGAGCAATTCAGGTAAAATACCGTTAAGTGGTTATGTTGATTCTGATTGGGGTTCTGATGAAGTGGATAGAAAAAGTACTATGGGTTATTTGTTTAGCTTGTTTGAGCAATGCACCATAAGTTGGAAAACAAAAAGGCAAACAACAGTAGGTAGCAGTTTCTTAGTACTGAAGCAGAGTACCTACATGGCACTTATTTAAAGCCGTAAAAGAAGCTCTATGGTCAAAATCTTTAGTGACCATTATAGACATTAAATACTGGATCCGATTCCTATTTATGAGGACAATAGTGGTTGCATAAGCATTGCAAATAATCCGACATGCCATAAAAGGTCAAAACATATTGCCATCAAGTATCATTTTTGTAGAGAACAAGTTGAGGAAAAATTTATTAAAAATAGTTTATGTGTCCACAGGTAATCAAGTGGCTGTATGTGTTAACAAAACAGTTGCCCACTGTTCGTTTCTCCCAGTTGAGAGAGAAATTGGGACTAGAATAGATTACAATATATTTCATTCATAATAAAATGTGTAGTATTAAATAAATAACTAGCGTAAGAATTTGAATAAGTATAACATGGTCAGATTAGGTTTTTCTGGGTTTCCCTGATTCTATGCAACGATTGTTGGACCATTGAATGATTGTTATACTATTAAGGTAAGTACCAAATTCGCTCGTTGCGCCCCAGCGTTTATCACAAAAAGTTTTCATATGAAATAATCTTTTACTTCTTCTATAAAAGTATGTAATATAAAGGTTTTCTGTTTTTCTTTTTTCTATTAGAATAACTACGCATAACTATGCGTTTTGTCTTGTATTTGTCTTGCATTTTGTAAGTAAGTAATTTCTTCTTTCCTTTCACGGGACCACAGGGTCCCGGACCTTTGGAAGGCGTACGAGGAGCCGAAGCCAACTCGCAGAGGCCCGTTGAACAGTTTTAATCTAAATGTGATGGGACATCAGCCGGCAATTATCCCTGTATGCACTATATGTATAAGTGCACCCAAGGACAATCCCCGGTTGATGCAGGACTATTGTGAAATGTGGTAAAAATTGATAGGGTTATAGGTAGTCCATAGCAACCCATGCTATGGACTATGGATGGATATGATAACTATGGAAATTAAGTAAGTAATTAATTATTATTGAATTCAATTATTATTAATTTCAAATACAACAACTGGCAACTGTCTTACTAGCTTTGACCAGCTACCTACCTTTTTTGTGGGGGAAAAATCATCAATTAATGTCTTATCTCGCCCATTGGGGAGTGTCAGACTCTTACTGACTAAAAACAGCCCCGTACCTTCACCTACTTCAGGCCAAGGCCGCGGCAGCGTATTGAGGAATGAGATAGATCAGCATACGAGCAGGAGCTCGCTTTTTTCACTCGCTTACCTGATGGTAAGCATACTGCGCCGCCCATAGCAACCCGTAATACCAAGAGAGTTACAAGTGCATTGCTGGCCTTTTGAGGATAATAATTTCGGATATTTAGGATTGAGGAAGGAGGGAGAGTTTGATTGGGCCTCCGGTAACCTCACTCACATGGTGAAACAACCCTGTGGGTGTTTCATGTCGGTTTTCTGCAAGGCCTGAGTGATACCACTATCACTCCAAGGTCAAGCCTTGACTCTCCCACAAAGGCCCACACTAAGCTTGATGGGAGAGAGGCATGGAATGGGTATCACTATAATAATAAGGCCGGTAAATCAAATAATAACAACTACCTTTGACACTGGAAAGGCTGTACCCGGAAGTTCCCAACACCACAAACTTGTCACTTATTAAGTTTCTTACGAACGGTATTCACTAAAACCTGCGCATACGCAGATGTTGCCAGCTCAAAGGGCTTCAGTATACTAGTTACATGCCAACATTGATTCACTTTTATATAAAGTTGCCGGGACTTTTTACGATATCAAGGTATGAACACACCATTGAAAGTCCCTCATAACGGCTTATAAAGGCGGGAGTCACCGCTGTCGTGGGCCATGATCCTTAATTCTTTTATCTTGTAGGTACTGACTAATTTGTACGTCAGATTAGTAATATTTTAATTATGTAAACTTTGATAAGACTTCAACATGTAAATTAATCTATTTTGGTGTTTTTTTTATTTCCGATCAATTTTATTAATTCGATAGTAATCAGGTTATCGATCTGAATGTACTTGGAGGTATTTACGATAATGTCACACCTATTATTGCCGATGGTCCGTGGAGATTATATTAGAACGAGATCAACGAGCGAACTTTCCTCGAGCGCTTCAAAGAGCTGATAGGCCACCAAAGACGGGGTAAGCGCAATGAGGTGCGGTCTTGGCCTTAAAGAGAACAAATGGGGTTGTTTTAGTCAGTAAGAGTCTGACATTGCCTTTCGCCTCATCCTAGGCGGGAGAAGTCATTTGATAATTTTCCCCTAAAAAAACTTATTTATAAGTAAAACAAAATCCCCGCCGCGCAGTTTGGAAATAACAATAAGCCCGCGATCCCGCGGGCTACCATCATCCTGATTGCTCCAGAGAGCAGTCACCGTTCCTTATCTACGGCTTGCCTTCATTAGCTGGCCGAAGTGAACGATGACGAAGAACAGGTCTCCACCTCTGGCTTGCCTTCATTGGCCGTCCAGAGTGGAGTGGCGAGAGTAGTGATCCTGTTCGGAGGGTGGAAGCTGTTCGTAAGCGGCGAGTGGGCCAGTGGTCAAAAGCTGGTGGCAGTTTCTTCACCCTTCAGCCACTCACATTTCCGTTGTCCCTCTGTTGCTATTATTAGCAACCATTCCCGGTGGCCCGGTCGGTGAGTTGGCGACTCCCCGCCTGTTATTTTTACGTGTATAAATTACATTGTTTCGGCAGGTGCCGTAGTCTGCGCAGTTGGCCCCTCGTACGCCTTCCAAATGACCGGGACCTTGTGGTCCCGTGATTGGTAAAGACATCTTCTATAATATAAAAATGAATCGCGAAATGTGTTGGTAAGCGCATAACTCAGTAACGACTGGACCAATATTGATGATTCTTTTTTGTTATGTTCGTTATTGTAAGGAGAAGGTTCTTACGAAAGAAAACTTTAGAAAAATAAAGGGGAATATCGGGAATTAACAATCCTTTCGGTGCTGTGGCTGTTTGCTAAAAAAACAAATGACTGACGGGGTCGGATACCTGCCCTTACGAAGCAGGGGCGGTCTGCTAGTACATAATAATAATATATCTATTCAATCCTTTTAGAATATTGATATCAAAAATTATTTATTCAACTTTAAACTTAATTTAAAGGGTAATTTTTTTACCAATGAATAGCAACATTGTTCGTTCCATTCCATCTCGTTACACTCAAATGAATAATATCGAGTCGTGTTTCCTAGAATTATAGAAGCAAAATTTATTAACAAAGACTGTATTGTTAGAGTTGTCACAAATTGCAGGGTGTTTATTACTTTGAAATAAACGAAAGAACAAGAGACGCTTGTCAGATACCGTCACTGTTTTGATATTTGTAGCTACGCAAAGTTTTATCTTTTTATGGGGTTCTAGCTTCCGCCCGTGTGGTTTTGTTAATTCAAGTACTAATCACCTAGGGTAAACACCCCAATTATGGACAGTTTAAGAGAGAAAATTTTACAAAATTTTATTTTATTTTTATTTTTATTTTATTTGTAAAATTTTACAAACATTGTCAAAGTTTCAGTTCTGATAATGCCTAAAGTTTAAAGTCCTCTTCTTACACGACATTTCTACTGTGTTACCCATGAGATATTGCAAAACCTGTGTCGACTGGCAGCAAAATTAAATGTACATAAATTCCATTATTTTTTTCACCAGTTATGGACAGCAAAAATGCAGTACCTAATGGACATCCAGTTACCTATAGACACGAATCTAGTATGACACGCCTAGTAAATTAAACGTAGAAATGTATGATTAATTATTGAAATGAGATGACTCATAATTATTTTTTCAATTGAACAATTTTCTTAACTCTACAATGTAATTAGCATTTAGGTACACAGAAATATTTAAAAAGTATTTTACGAAAATAATCTCAATCAGGCTTTCTTATTCAATACTTCCAGTATTTTAACCCCTTTTTTACTGTTTCAGTTTCAGACCGTTTCAATAGCCCAGCCTAGCCTTATTTCGATATCCATAACTGAAAATAGGATGGATGGACCCATTCCTCCATTGCTGGTTCACATCATTATTTTTTATAATTTACAACGAGCTTGTAGTATAGAATAATAATTAGAATAAAATATATTTAAAAACCTGAACATACAAAAGTACTTATAATTAAGTTTCGACATTCGTCCATTATTGGAACTTTTAGTTACATCGCACTAGTTATGAACATTAATAAAAATCCTACAAACACAACCTCTCTGATATAGAAAAACAAGTGTGTGCTGTCTTCATTTCATCATTAACCCAACAAATAAAACGCATTATGTTATGTAGGTATAAAATAAAGCAATACCAGTATACAGATAAAACTTTTTATTAACTGCCCTAACAAATTCCTTAAGAAAAGAGAAAAAAAAAGTTATCTTATATAGTTGATATAGGATAACTTTTTTATTCACCGGCAAACTTTAAACTACCGCCACTTTTCCATCTAACTGACAGAATGAAATAAAATTGAAGCTATAACAGCTTTAGGTCTAAATTATTTATTTCCAACACTAAAAAGGTGGTTCCCGTCCATTCTGAGATATTTAATTATTTTTCGTCTATTACTGGGACTTTGTGCATTACTGGTGCGTTTTCTACATACCAAATTTAAACCAAATCCGTCCAGCCGTTTTTGCGTGAAAGAATAACAAACATACATTCTCACAAACTTACATAAAATATTAGGAGGATGTATTTCCCGTCTAATCTCAAAGCATAGAAGTAAAACTAGTTGAAAGTAAAACTTACTACCTACAGTATTGATGATTATATACAAAATGAACTATTTTTTTAATTTCATAGTATTTATATGTTTACGTCTTCTGTTTATTTCGTACTTTTTTATAGTGGCAACAATTTAACAAATTTTTAGATGCAAAAAGACTTGTAGCCATACCATGTTTTACATGTCAACTAAATAAGAAAAAAGTCATTTCGAAAGTGTCGTGTGGCATTGGTGTATCTTCATGTTGAATTATCGCTAAAACTTTATATTCTATTAAATAGTTACAATGTCAGAGCATGTGTTACCGGCCGAAGAGCCGATTCGATTTGTTGCTCCAATAATTCAAGATAATCCCACAGGATGGGGCCCCGCCGAAATGCCGGAGCAGTTTCGTGACATGCCTTACCAACCTTTCAGTAAGGGTGATCGTTTGGGTAAAATAAGTGATTGGACTGTTGTACAGGACAAAAAATATCAAAGTAAGTTTCAAACTTTTCGCAACTTCTGTTTACAACTGAAATATTGGTCGAAATGTTACTACTCTTTGAGGTTATGATGACGTTTTTTGCAACAGCTTTTCTGGGTCTTATGCTTAACCATAGTGTAAAGAGGGATATGTAAGTCCGTCTGAGACGATTTGTAAGAGTTAAGATAAACATGCAAATTGTGAGATATATCTGTGTTATTAATTATGAGTTCTCTACTACTCTGATCTACTCTGATTCAAAGTTTTCTAGGGAAAAATATTGAATAGGAGTGCCTTTGGTTATTGGTATCTATTCAAAAATGTGTTTTATTCATTTTCAGACAAGTATGCCTCTCAGTTTGGCGCTGGTTCGTCATACGCGTACTTCCATGATGAAGATGAGAGTACTTTCCACTTGGTGGACACTACGAGGGTGCAGAAGCCCCCATACCAGCGTGGTCGTGCTCGCGGTCAAAGAGGCCGCGGAGCCAGGGGCGCGCGCACGCCAGGTGGCATGACTACCCTCAACAAGGGCAACAACTACATGAGAAATGTAAGCCACTTACCCTACAAAAATTTGCTTATTTTGTGTTTACAAAAATATTATACATAATATACCTAAATAAATATTATTGTAAAAGTTAATTTAAACTCTTACACTCTGTTTCTGAAAGGCTTGTCAATGCTAAAATTAACTAATCTCCTGTTAAATCTCTTGTCAAGTCATCTGGTTGTTGATAATTCAGTCAGCCAATCAGATGACTTGACCAGAGATTAAATTGATTTTAACATTGATCGGCCTTTCGGAAACCAGGGGTTAGTCTTAAATTAAAGCTCCATTTAGGGGCAACCCTGACTGAACATCACCCCTGGACCCTATCTGTGATATCTATTGGCAAACAATAACCTGTGATAATATGGATGATCTATGATTAACAACCTTGGACTTATGACATAAAACTGTTGAAGGCAAACCTTCAGACAAACATTGGTCTCTGTTGACCGGAGTGCCAGCTTACATGTTAATAGTGACTCATATAGAAATATCAATCATTCATTTTCTTCTATTTAAGCAACGGGATCGTAAACTTGGCAAGAGGTGGGGCCAGAGAGGTGCTCCGATGAAGATCCGTGATGCGTCTGTCACTGTAAGACCAACTTGGGTCACCATTGAAGACATGGACTTCCCACGTCTTGCGAAATTGTCTTTGCCAGGAATTAAAGAAGGTACAGTAAAAGTTTTTGGTCACAATTCACAAATTACTACTTGTCTAAATTTTGCTTGTGTGCGTTTTAATGGATGTATCAATCCCTATTTATTGCTACTTCAAGTTTGTGTTCTAAAGATTTACGTATAGCCCATAATTAAACAACTATATACTACTACCTAATTTTCTTGCTTCTATTTTTTTTTTACATGGCAAATTAGTATTTTTCTTTCTGTCTTTCTTTCTATCTTCAACATATGTGTTGTCTGTCTTGAGTCAGTGTTCCCCTAAGAG